CCTCAGCCATACTGATAAGGTGCCAGCAGAACTGATACTAACAGAATGACACCGAGCTCTGGCAAGCTGCCGTATTTATGCGCACATCACGAGCGTAAAAGAGAGCACCCCTAAACCGAGAGCCAAAAAAATCATGGCGACGTCAAATTGTGTTATTTTGTGCTTCACAAACTATACATTGGAGTGAATAACTTATTATAGGATTAGAAATACTTTCAAACATCTTACCCATCAGATGAAGGTAAGTTTCAGGCATGATTTCATAGTATTTTTGATGCATGACATTTATCTGTCGTCTAGAAAAGAAGCATTGATGTTGAACCGAAGGGCTAAAATCGGGTCACCTGAATACATCAAATAAGTATTTTAACCTTTTTTAAAGTGTGATACAAGGAAAACTTAATCTATACAATGAGATTAAACCTAGAGAAAAGTGTTGATACTGTTTTTAAATCAAAGGAATGGTTTCAAGTGTAAAAATATAGCCAGAGTCGGTTTAGGCATAGACACAAGAAGGCGAAGGTCGGCCATTTTTTGTAGAAAATCACTGTAATGACTTGTATAGAGAATATAGGATTTTTTTAAATCGTGATCTTTTCTGACTGGAATTTTTAAATAAATCAAATCAGTTTAGTTAAAAAAACAATTTGAATCCACTTTATTTCTAGTGGGAAGGTCTAGATGTTTTATAAATAACGATACAACACAGTGTCTTATTACAAGGCACAGCATTCTATACACATAAGCATGATTTTTTTAGAAATCCTGAAAGATTTCGAGATAAAACAGAATCGGATTAAAATCAATTTGTATCTACTTTAATGGAAATGGGAATAGATTTTTTTTTTCTGACTAAACAAAAAAAAAAAAAAAAAAATCTCAGCGTCTAAAAAATCTCAGCGTCTAAACCAGGGCACAAGATGGCGTCATATTTGTATAGAAATCATAACAAAAGACTTATTGTGGTTGACATCCTTTTATTTTTTATTTAATAATTGTTCAAATTGTCGAATTCTCCTCTGAAATCGTAATCGATCTGCTACTATAGCCATCCATGGACTTTTTCGATCTTAGGGTGGTAAATGATAAATTTCATTCAGGCGGGTATCAAAAGTTACACATTTCTTAACATGTCTGAAATTTCTACATATTTCATCCCGTATTGGATGCATATTTTCTCTACCGCTTCTATTTCCTTCCAGAGTAGACATACTTTGCTCCCTTCGGGATGACATAGGAAACTGTAAGGTTTTCCTAAATAGTCGCTCATTTTCATCCCGTACATTTTTTCTGGTAGAGTCTTTTTGATCCGTTGACAAAGGAAATGTATAATGGCTAGTCTCCCCAGTGTCGGATGATGTAATAAAGCCAGGCATTGTAACCACAAGTCCTGAGTATTTTCTATGATGGTCGTCGCTCTCTGGAACACTGGTTCCGCCTCCGGGGGTAAAGCTGCTGGATTTTTCTCGATACATCGCATTAAAAAATCATACCCTTCCAACACTAAAGAGTGAGTGTGTTTATGTGTTGACATGATAATCAATTGTGAAGAAATGACTAGAAATGTTTTCTTATTTATACCCCTGTTATCTATACAAGACGTACACAGAACGTACAATGTACTGACTCAGCAAAGTACTGACTCAGCAAAACGTAGGTACAACGAGAGAGGGGTGCTAAGCGCGAGGGTCCAAAACGTAAGTCAAACCTATTTTTGCACACGAAATTCAAAAGGGTATATAAACCAGAACTGGAAATTTAGGATCATTCTTACTGGGCACTTGGTACTTGACAGACGTAGAAATATGGCACAAGCAATGATGAATTCCGTGGAAAATCGTAATTATATTCCAGCTACCAATGAAGGGTTAGGATATGCTCTACCGACAATGCCTGACACGCAGGATCCCATCGGATTTGATCTGGGACTTTATAATATGCCTGAACCCATGACAAAGGAAGATATGGGCATCTTAACCACCACTTTGGATGGCATTGTCAACATGCTGACTCAACTGAAAGAGTACAACACCAGTGAATTTTGTTTGATTCGTGGGAAATTGTCCCGATTAGAAGTTAAAGTCGCTAGAATGGAAGAAAAAATGAGAGGATACGAGAAAAATGAAAACACAGGAGCTGCCAAGAAAAAGGAAGATACAGGAGCTGCCAAGAAAAGTAAACAGACAGACCCATGTTTCATATGTAAAGAATTAGGACATTGGGCTCCGGACTGTCCCAGAAAAAAAACAGAACTTATGCTACAAGTGTGGAAATTTTGGACATTGGGCCCATCAGTGTACAGATGACAGTATGGAATTGCTCAAAGAAGTTGAAAAACTGGAGAAAAAGGCACAAGAAAACAAGACCACCCAACATAAGACCAGTCAACAGGATCAAAAGCAGATTAACAACAAGAGGAAACTTCCTACTACCCAGACGGAGAAGACCCTGAAACTCCAGAAGAAAAAGTAAATATGATGTACATATTACTTGAATAAATCATCTTACACACTTTTTACTGTGTTATTGTTTTTTCCGTTTTCAGAAAATAGAGAGAGGTTTGCTCTGTGTGAATGACACACATGACGTCACAATGGTATACTTGAATCGATGCCAAGATTGTGTATTGCCTATACCTGACTCAGCACAAAACGTAGATCAAACGTAGACCCCTCTTTTTTTTACTTGGGTTTTTCCAGGGTGTATACTAGATTGAACCGGTCATCTGAGGCCAAAAAAGTGCACTCAGTTGACCCGGCCATCCAGGATCTGGGGGGACAAAAAGTGCACTCAGTTGACCCGGCCCTCCAGACCCCTTATACTACTTCTAAGTAAACGCCTGAGTTTTTTTGAAAACAATCTTGTGAAATAAAATTACTCTCTTTTTATGCCATTTCGCTGCAATTTATATGAAAAAACCTTCGTTCAACGGACCACTTGCTAATTCGTATTATCACATTTAAATTTCTACGAGTCTTTCCACGATATTAAGTACTTGTGTAAAATAAGGAATCTAGAGTTTAGAACCCGGATCACTATATAACGGATATAGTGCTGAACTTAGATAACTACATTGCAAGTTATCAAGTATCGAACCAGGATCACATTTGTATAGAATATCCAACCCAACAAGGATCAAATAAGTACCGAGTATCGAGCCAGGATCACTTAACTTAGGCACAGAGTACCAAACCTGGAGAACTAAGGTACGGAGTACCGAATCCGTATCAAACCCTGATATCTCAGATAGACTCATGCTTATAATATGTCCTAATCACTACCCTAAATATTGGGATCGTCTGTAAAGTATAATGACTAAGGCGTTTCGCTCAAGAGTCGCAGAGGAAGTAGTTTATTGTTTCGACGCTGGTTCTAATCCCACTGAGTTCTCTCGGATGAGAACTTATAAACCGACACTGGGTGAAAAAAGCAGTTTCCCGTCATGGGAAACTATATGGAAACCACATGGAAACCTCATGTTTACATCATGTTTCCTAGTGGTTTCCGCAGCGGATGCCAGGTTATTCCGTCAAGTTTCCGTACCACGGAAACTATTACGCTCCGATTCCATAAGGTATCCCGAACCACGGAAACCTCAAGTTTCTTGAGCCTCCATGTAGTTTCCCGTAATGGGAAACCTGAAGATTCCACTGGTTTCCATAATTAGGAAACTATGTGGAATCGGAGCGTAGTGGTTTCCATGGAATGGAAACTCAATGGAATCCTCAGATATCCCATGAACGGAAACTTGAGGAAACCTCGTGATTCCTCAAGTTTGCATGACTCAGGAAACTATATGGAATTGGAGCGTAGCAGTTTCCGTGTGATGGAAACTTGGTGGAATTATCTGGTGTCTCATAAAAGGAAATTACAGGGAAACTTCAAGATTCCCTTATTTTTCTGAGACGGGAAGCAATGTGTAATTGTGGAGTAATAGTTTCCATACCATGGAAATTACAGGGTAGGTTGAGCATTTCAATTTCGAAAAATGATTGACAAGCAACTAGAAGCTCAAGGATCCCTGTATTTTCCATGGTTAATCTTTCTTGTCTAGAATGTGAAAAGAGAACAGCAGGTTTAAATCAAAATATATATTATTAATTTCTTTGGTAAACTGTGTTTTCTTTTCAAAATCTATCAAGAAAATGTATAAAAAGGAAAAAGCATTATCAAATCATATGTTTAATAATTCATTTGATGTGCAAAAACATTATTTGAAAATGATATCAAAATAAATAAAATCATATAGGTTGATTGCTTCCATATCGGGAATATACGTGGAAACCACTACTGCATGTTTCCGCGGTTTCCCATATTGGGAAACTTACGGGAAACCACAGGTTGATTGTTTCTATATCGGGAATCTACGTGGAAACCACTACTGGATGTTTCCACGGTTTCCCATATTGGGAAACTTATGGGAAACCACAGGTTGATTGTTTCCATATCGGGAATCTACGTGGAAACCGCTATGTGGTTTCCATAAAATGGAAACTATATGGAAACTACTGATGTCACGATTCCCATATGTTTCCATCGGGTTTCCAAATTTGGGAAACCTGGCTTTTCATCCTGTGCGAGATATGTCGAAAAAGATGCTGACACGAATATATATATATATATATATATATATATATATATATATATATATATATATATGTATATATATATATATATATATATATATATATATATATATATATATATATATATATAATGCCGATCGAGATCTACAGAGGGCTCTTTTACTGTCTATGCCTGTTATAAACTTATTATTAGAATTCTTTTGCTTAAAAATTAGAACACTGACACATTTTTCTGATTGAACCTTAAAAACTATACGTCCTTAAGTGTTTTTAGATGTCAAATTACACATTGTTGAGACGGACAGATCAACAAACACAGGATAATCTCCTTCCTAAAACATTAGTGGACGTAATTAACATACTTTGCATTTGTATAACTTAAAGGTCGTTATATTTCGCTATTTATTTGTACAGAATCTGTAATAACGCGGGAAATTGTATATGCCGGAAGTGTGAATGTTTCAAAGGCTACAGTGGAAACAAATGTGAATGTAATGACGAGAATTGTAGGACCTACAACAAACTTCTCTGTGGTGGTATATTGATTGATTGATAAGTTAAATAAATATATGTCTTCAAAAAATTATCACGATGTTTATTAATCAATAACACTCACAGCAAGCAGTGGCGTATATTCCATATAGGCAAAAAGGCTGTAGCCTACACATCATTTTCTTAGGGATAAAAAAATTGATTGGAAAAAAGGAAGAAAAGATGATAATAATTCTTATCTATTAATTTTATTTTGTTGCAAATGCCAAAATAGCATTCTTAGCAGTTCGTACTTTTATACCTATCCAACGTCGACAGTTTTACTAAATATTTAATGACAAAACTTCCTTTAGTTGGGATTTTTTAAATCCGAATCTCAACTGTTTTATTAAGTCTGTATCAGAGAATTTCGAAACCACCGACAGCAACAGGAGGCCATGATAAGTGCAGGAAATAAAATTGATATTTCTGGAAAATAATTTTTTTGGTTAGTAGGAAATTAAATGTATTGAACGTATTTAGATAATTCAGTAAGGAAGTTTCCATATTTTCTAAGTAGAGTAAAAATAAGTTGAAAGTACTCTATTTTGTTTAGTAGTCTTCATACCATGATATAAACTGAAAAAAAATGTTTACAATGTTATTTTCACTTGTCAAATTGTAGATGACAATCGTAGACCGACCCCCCTCCCTTCCCAAAATCCCTATATATCGAGAGGGGGCGACCTTCTCTCTGCCTACCCACACTGTGCACCTCAGGTTAAATCTGTGACTTCTCACTAGCCCACACATTAGCAGATAGGAATATACGCCACTGAGCATAATCATATAGCCACGGTAATTATTTCCCCCGTCATTAAGTACGCTTTACTTATAGACTCATGAGAAGAAAATTCTAATGCACCTTTATAAGCAAGAAATTGATACTTCAGAATACTTTGTAAATATTGATAAGTATTTGATAGTTTTATTCTTTAAGACATCTACATGTATCCTTTTTATGTAATGTAGGACCATCACAGGGACGCTGTGACTGTGGACAATGCGTCTGTAATGCAAATTATACCGGGAATGCCTGTGAATGCTTGACTTCCACTGACCCTTGTAAAAATAACAACGGGGTAAGTAGATCAGAATCAGCTGACGGCCAACAGGAGTTTAAGACATCATGCAACCTCAAAATACGTGAAAGAATGAGAATATCAATGTTCATCAAACGTAACGTAATCCTAAAATAAAGTATGAACGAGAGAGTATATATGATGTAAAACATCCTGCTCAAATCATTGAGAAAATGTCTATTCTAAATGGTGATACATATGTACGTGTTAAAATGTGAAGTTGATCCGAATCGTTTCTGCATGTACGGAAGCTCTGAGCTGGTATTACAAAACAACCCAATCATTAAATCACCATATGCAAGAGAAGGTATATGGTGTATACCAGTTTAATCGGCACCCAGGGCCATTGAGCAGTAAGAGATCGTTATCGTGTCAACTCCTGTCGTGACACTGGGTCCCAGTTTTAAGGTTTCATCCTAAAGACTCAACTTTCAATTCAAAATGCCGAGAGCTTGGCGAAGAAACAGTTGCTACCTATTTTTATCGGCTTAGGTCAGTTTGAGGTTTCAACCCATTCCGATCACGGAGCTCTCTACCGACTGGGCTTCCGTGACGGTCTATGGTTAAATGAAAAAAGCTTAAATGTAAAACAATACTTTGTAAATAAAATAATTTGAAAAGGGATAGGGAAAGGGAGGGGTAACAATATATTTCTTATCCCAATTCAGCAAAGGCTTTTAAATTTAGATATCCAATTACAAAGTATCCTAGTTGCAGGACTGTGATTGAGCAAAGTTGGACAGATAAACCAGAGAGCTACAGATCCAATCATTGTAAAAACCTTCGATTTACGGCGGTGCTTTTTGTCTCTCGCTTCAGATACCATCTCTTGTGTTTTTTGTGTTCCTCCGCTTTAGGCATGGTTTCCGTTCATAAAGCATGTAATTTACTCCTATTCCTGAGACCTAATTTACCTTACAACGGTTTTAAACAGCCCTATATGGTCTTCGAGTATCTGTTTTTAAAAGACAGTTCTTAAAGAATTGGCGTCCAATTACTTTTTTAAATGTTCTGTATAAACTTATACCTAGATGTCAAAGTTTGAGAATAAAATCTATTTTAGAAACTATTATTTCTGATACACAAACAGGTTTTATTGATTGTTGACACATAGGGGAAAATATCAGATTTATTCATGACTTAATGTCTTATAAAGAGTCAACCAATATACCAGGTCTGTAAATGCTAATTGACTTTGAAAAAGGATTTGACTCAATTTCATGGTCTTTTCTTTATAAAGTTTTGAATTACTTTGGCTTTTGAAAAAAAAAAAAATTCTGAGTGGATTAAGATCCTAAATGCAAATTTTAATGTATCAGTTTAACAATGTGGATTTTTATCTGAACAATGTCTTGTTCAGTGAGGTTGTAGACAAGGAAATCCTGTAGCTCCCTATCTGTTTCTCGTTTGTGCCGAAATCTAATCGATTCTAATGAAGCAGAAAAGATATAAAAGGTATTATTGTAAATGAAAAAGAACACAAAATCTCTCAATATGCAGATGATACCTCACTGGCATACCTCACCAAAATCTTTTTTTGCTGCATGCTCTCGATACTTTGGATTTATTTTCACAACTATCCGGGTTAAAGATAAACAGTTCAAAGAAAAGAAAATTATTTGGATTGGTTCAAAAAGATTTCAAGTCAAGATTTTTTATTTGGAGGATTAAATATGGTAAATTTGGATATTTTCATAAAAATAACTAAAATGTACTTAGATCAATAGATTGGTAACAAAAAGTAAGAAACCATGACAAGACATATTTTTGGGAACTAATGGTATTGATGTAAATAAATTTATGGCTTTTGGCTTTTATTTATGCTTCAAACATTCCTGTGTCGCAGAACAATATTTTTAGTGTGATGTTTTTAGTTCATGGCAACATGTTTTGAAAAATGTAGATCATGATGTACCTATGAAATACAAGACTTGTTATATTCCTGTATGGTATAATTCTTCTATAAAAGTAAATAATAAGAGCATTTTTTTTTTTTTATAGAAAATTGGTATAAAAGAGGAGTTAAAAATATTGGAGATTTTTGTCGGATGATTGCAGATTTCTATCAAAATGTATCTTCCAAAAAAATTTAATATTTCCTTTGTAAGCTTAATGCAGTATAATTTAAAGTTTAGAAAAATGTCAATAGATAGAAAGTATTTGAAAACTTTATCAACCAAAGTTACTTTTTTATTTTAAAAATATTTTTCATGATGAAAAATGTACAAAAAGTATTTATAATGATATAAACAAAACTGATTTAATTCCTACTGCAATTCCAAAGTGGAGTTTAGATTTATCGTCTTATATAGTGATGGAGATATGTAAAAAAGATGATATTAAAGTTTGTTTAAGACAACATCTGATTCTTCTGTGTAGTGGCTACAATACAGAATTCTCCTTTGGATCCTCCCTGTAGATTCTAATCTTAAGAAAATCAACATAAAAAATACTGACTTCTGTAAGTTTTGTACGCAGAACACTGAAACTATACTCCATGTGTTTGTCTTCTGTGACTATATTGTATCTATATGGAGGAATTTGAGTTTACATAGTTATATACAGAACCATTTCAAAAAAGAGTTGGATTTAATGTCCATAATATAATTTTAGGCGAAATACCTCTTACTAAAGACAATAGAATTGAAAATTTTATGTTACTATATACAAAACAAAGTATCTTTTCATGTTTATTACAATCAAAAATTCCAAATTTTACTGGTTTGTTAAGCAATCTGAAAATGAAACACAATATTGAGGGGTGTATACCTATTAACAACTCAAAACTGTTTTACTTTGAAGAACAATGGATTTTGTGGAAAAAAATGTTTGAACCAATTTAAGACAATGTGAACAGGTTTTTGCCACCTTTATATATATTAAGAATCAATTGACGATAGCTGATATGTTATGAAGCAACCTCCATATTAAAGTGCAATTGGATTATAAATGGGTGTGTGAGTGCTAAAAGAATCCATTGTAATTCTGCTCTTGAAAATATTTTGACTTTTGTGTATAATGCAATGGATAATAAAAAATAAGGCTATTTGAGACCGTTGAAAGGTAAATAACGTATTTACAATAGGAGAAATTTATATAATTATTCAACGGATAGCATTCTTGAAAGTGGGGGGACATATAAAATACAAAAAATAATACCCGAAGCGAGCAACAACAACTACTAAAACGTCGCCATAAAACGAAGGTTTTACAGTGCTTGGATCTGAAGCTCTCTGGTTTATCTGGCCGAATTTTCTCAAACAGAGAGCTACTGTTCTGAAGCTACAATGTATTTATATATTGCTCATAATTAGCTTTGAGGAAAAAAGACCGTGTGGAAAATGTGCAGCATCAAATGGGTTTCAATGTTTGGCATGAGAAGTCTTTTCAGATCTCAGGCATTGAATTCCTTGTGACCTTAATGATGATTAAAGGCATAACACTTGTTCACTTGAACCATCAACAAACAAAACACAATTCATTTTAATTTCGAATTGATAATACAAAGTGCAATATGTCCAGTGGTTTCTATTAAATAGTGACCACGTGTAATAAAAGCATGTTTCTGTTTGTCACGATAAGCGACCTGACCTATTGACTCCTCTTTACATTGTAAGTGATAAAGAAATTAAAAAATATTACAGAAAAATTTGAAACTGTGCTTTTTATAGTGTGTATTTAATAAAATATATCTTAAATGTTTGTAGACAATTTGCTCTGGTAATGGAGAGTGCGAATGTGGACGCTGTCGTTGTAATTCTGGTTGGCGGGGAACACTGTGCAACAGCTGCACCGTAAGTTTATTGAAACATTATTCTTGTCCTTAATTTTGATTTTGTCAATTTTTTTGAGTGATTGATTGATTGTATCTTGTTTAACATTCCAATTCGAGAATTTTTTACTTATGTTAGAGCGTACGTCGGTGAATGGCTTCAAATTTAGACTTATAATTAGCATTCAGGGACATTGAACAGTGAGGGTTCTTTATCATGTCAACGCTTACTGTGACACGAGACCTAAACAGTCACTTCGTTTGTTTACGTCTTAGGTTTGACACGGCGCTTCGAACAAGGATCGAACACGAACCTCTCGATCACGAAGCGAACTCCCAACAGTTTTTAAAAAATAAATTACCACAATGCTTACAAACTGCACACATGTTGTGAATTCATATTTTGATATTCACAACTGCGGAAATATTTAAACTTCACGTTATGCAAGATGTCTCCCTTCTGTACAAACCAAAAGGTACATGTATGTTTCAAAACCAGGAAAAGTTTTTTATAAAAAGTTTTTTTTTTTTTTTTTTTTTTTTTTTTTTTTTCAGAGTTGTCCTGGAATCTGCAATAACAATAAGGACTGTGCTGAGTGTGTGGCCTTTAATCAAGGAAAGTATAACACTACCCTCTGCCAAAATCGGTGTAATAACGTCTGGACTGCTCCACTACTCAAACCGGCTAGTGAGTATAACCAAAATTTAGAATAAACTTACTTCAGTTATTGTCAAGATGAAAGACACCCTGCGGCAATCACTCACCAATAAATCTCAAACATCATAAAACTATCAAATTATCATTAAAACGTATGAAACATGTACTGGTAATGAAAATATAAATTTATAACATTTCATAAAGCATCTTGAGATCATAGCATCTGATGAATGTCTATTTCTAAAGCTCAATCGGTCTGTTCAAAGGACTTACCAAATAAGTTAACACTTTCGTGTTTTTATTTAGTCTACTAAATTAACAAAGTTAGGTAGTTATATTTTATTTGCACAAACAAGGTGATCCTCTGCATATAGGAGATTAGTTCTTTTATAAATTAGTACAATTGCAGATTGTATTTTCATCAGCCTGATCCTATATTTCCTTGGGAATATGCAATTGCCTTTTAATAACTGGGGAAATTCGGCAAGTATGTCTCCATGAGTTATTAAAAGACCACAAATTCAGTGATAAGCAGCAGTCACGAGTAAATTAAATGAGAAAATGGAGGATTCAATCACTGACTTGATTGAAACAATATGGCTGAAAATAATTATACATCATTCAAATCCAATCTATAATGCATATTCTACTAATCTAAAGAAAAACTTATCATTTATACAAACTTTCCCAAAAAATAGATGTATATTTGACTACCTTTTCATCAATATTTGTCAAGGAAATATTAGATGACACAATGCACTATGGTGGCCCTCTCACATAACACAAGTATACTCTGTTTGAGGAGTTTGCTGTTGCTTATCTAGCCAAGGAATTGTTTCTCTTTTTACACTTAGGAACGACAAAAATGGTTTCCGAAAATTCAAAATCCGTTTTGGTTCTGATAAAAGCCAGCCACAACAGACATTTGACAAATCCACCTCCTCCTTTATTGTTGTACCCTTAACATCATTAAGGATAAGAAATTCATTCATGTCAAAAAGCATGTTTTGGACAAAACTAAATACCATTCACCAATTTATGAAGGGGACTTAAATTAAATGTTTCCTACTGAGGTTTCATCCAATACCAACCAAACCGCACCTGTGAGAAAAGTCTGATTTGAAATCATAAACATTTTTGTAGACGAAAATGGATGGTCTCTTGATCTCAATCACAAATAGTATCACTTTCAGAAAGGATGACTCCAGAAAATGTATTTTACAATGACATTCAAATGACCCCATTGTGTTGATCTGTTAAAAGAACTCTCCTGTATCCGATGCCTAAATGTGAGCTCTGTCCCTTCAACTCAGTGAAGTTGTACATGTGAAAGCGCAGCCTCAATAATAATACCTTCTCTCAGCGTCCATTGACGAAATCTGAGTCCCTATAATATGTCGAACGTGAATGCTCGAGCACTTGGGGTTTCACACTCTTGGAAGTACGATGTAAAATACATCAATGTCCATGAATTATACATGTATCAATCACTGTAGTCTACTGTATTATTCTATGCTGGAGTAAGCTCCCTTGAAATCATGTCTTGCACAGTCCACCCGAATAAGAAAAGTATTGAAAGTAATGTTGATGCACCTTCTGTAATTACCTTTTCATCAATTGTTGTCAGGGAAGTACTAGTGGGCACAATGCTCTATTGTGGCTCTCTCCTCTGAGATTCAACATTACATATTGCTGGAGAAGGTCAAATACACATTAAAATGTACACTGCTCCTTATACGAAAAGAAGTCATAAATGATCACATGCTGCAAGTAACTAACTTATTTTTGAGTTAAAGTTGTAATTGCTGGAATATTCTAGAAATAGATTAAACAATTAAAGTCAACGTTTCAAACAGCTGTTGTTTCACGTGTTCAGTCTGTTAGTCTCAGTATAAGAAAAGTTTTTTAAAAGTGTTTTAATCATTGCTTTATTTCATCAGTATTTGATGCATATAGTCAAGGAAACTTAGTCCCTACTTAATTTTGACATAATTCAATAGCGGGCTTACACAACATCAAATACCCTTTTCAATTTTTTTATATTGCTTATTAAGAAATCCAACAACGTTTACTTGGTATTTACATTGAACGTTGTAACCAAAGGTGGGGTTATAGGGTAGAGTTGAAGGTACATACTTTATTTGACCATACAATTGAAAATCAGCAGAGACACATCGCATTCATATTTCCCCGTATACATAAAAACAGAGAAAAACCTATGATCTCACCTTTTTGTCAGCAGAAAAATATGTTCCTTCTCCGAAGATTCAAAACAAACAATTTGGAGATTTCTGGAACAGCCATCTCTGCCAATCAGAAACGACTCTTTCGACATAATAAACTAATATGTATCTCTATAGGAGAACGATTGGCTTTATTTCATTGTTGTTAGTAGAATTGAAATTAATGAAATTCTTGTAGTGGATGATGCAGAAAAAACCCTCTCGGTCACCTCGGCTTTTAAATATCAAAACGCATTTTTTGACCTTAGAGCAAGGTTATTCTGCAAGATCCCCTTAGACGAAACATTATTTCTTAAAAAAAATTAAACCTTTAGGAAAGTAAACAAGAGGTCCCTGTTTATTCGAAAATATATTGAGTTAAACAAATTTTGCGATTATAATTTAATTAAAAACAGACTTATGTTAAATCGTACCCTGTTTACTTTCAAAAAAATTAAAACAGCATTGGGATAGATAATCTTTATGCATTCATTTACTTATTTAAAATTTCAGCCAAAGAAGATGACAATGCTACTGTTAAAATAAAATCCTGTATGACAGAGGACAGTTTCGGATGCATTATAAGCTTTAATGTCTGTAAGTCATTAGAACCATTACACTTCTAATTTCATGTATAGTACATAATAATATACACATTTGTTAAATTCAGTGAAAGAACTTTATTTCATAATTAATATAATTAATTTGAAGAGATTGTGATAAAAATGTTACTTTCAAGAAATATTGCGATGCTTCTTTGTTAGAAATGAAAAATAGCTATTTTTTTTAAAGATGATAGCGAACTTGGACAGGAAGTTGTGGTCAAAGATACAAAGAGTATGTATAGAAACTACTACAGTTTATAAAGTAGTAAACCATTAAAGAATTGTTCAATTAAAGGGCTAATTGGTACAATAAAAATCCTCACTGTCTGTAGTAAGCGTTATGAATAGGTCAAAATTTATGACACTTCACCTAATGTAGATGGCGTCTCTTAATAAGTGAAAAAAATCTCGAATGGGACTTAAACAATAATTAATCAATTAATCAACCAATTAGTCAATCAAATAAAACAATCAATCATTCAATCAATCAAAGGGTTTTTTGGAGAATAGCAATATTTTTTCCTTTTCTGGGTTGTGCAAAAACATGTTTAATGATGAAATTTTCTTCTTGAAGGATGCCCTGCAGGTCCACCAAATCTGCTGTTAGTAGGACTCAGCATTTCTGGAGCCATTTTTCTAGTTGGCCTGTTGCTTTTACTGCTCTGGAAGCTATTGACAATGTTATATGATAGTATGGAGTACTCAAGATTTGAATCTGAAATCAAGGATCCGGCTTGGGAGAAGGTATTGAAATGCCGAGGTTCCAGACAAAAGTACTCCTTTAGTTACTAAAGAACAAAAACCTTCAATTTCCCAAATGTTAAAACTTAATTTGTGCAACATTCTTGAAACCCATTGATATTGCAGTCAACTCTTTGGAGTTGATTGTATACCACTAAATCATCTTAGCGTTCCTAATACCATACCTATAACCACTATTAAGGTTTTCGTATCTATCAATTCCGTACTTCTGTGCATAACGCAGGTTTAAATGTTAAAGTAAACCATCGACTGTAAAAGTCAGCGCTTCTCGCAAAGTCCAAAAGTAGACCCTTAGTCCAACTTGATAAAACGTAATCGAAACTACATCTAACATAAAAAGCATAAAAAGGGTTCTAATCAAAGTTTTGCTTCGTGGTCATATTTGACTGATAAACAGTTAATTCTTCAGTATGACCGCCATTGTGTAAATAAATGCAGGAAATGCTTCAAATATTCTTTTTGACAATCACAATGTATACTTTCAATTTCATCATCTTTTGCACTGTTTACAAAGTTGGCACAATATCTGATTTACATTAACAATTTTCTACAGTCTGAAAATCCTATCTACAAGGAGTGTGTCACAACAGTACAAAACCCAATGCATGAATCCGGTTTCAACCAAGACAACATTGACGATAACGATGGCATGGATTTTTTAAAGGCCCAAGAAACCTAAGGGAAGAAAAAAAAATAACACTTATTTTTGATTTTGCATTTTGTGAAGTCCACGGGGCAAATGAAAAATTCATTTAAACTACTGTATTATCAAAAACATATTCTGAATCGAGTAGTTAAAATCACCTATTTTCGTAGGGTCAAATTTTCTTGGTATGAAGAAAAATGACTGGTTCGGGAGGATTTGATTTCGTGGATAAAGGAGAAGCATCATATTGCAGTATGAGATTTCAACATTTCGTGGGCAGTGTGAATTCGTGTGTCTCCTCATACCACGAAAACAACGACAGTTAGTAATATAATTGCAGTACAAATTGTGAAATTTTTTTTACATTAATTTTGATTTCGAGTACATACATGATGTAAGTTGTGAAAATAGACGATAAAAGAGTAAAATAAAATCAGAAACTTAAGCAGCAACTAACAAAATAATGTAGAAGAATGAATATTCAAAAAAAAAAAAAAATTGGTGTAATTGAAAAATATTGCTGTTCCTTTATATATTGTAAATGATGGTAACATATATGCTGTGTTTGATTAATTTAAAATGCCAATACCTGCAATGCATCAAATTTCAATTCATTCTCCTCCATTTCATTTTGTACACGAATATTAGTTAAGATTTAATATGTCATTAACAGCGCATATAGATTTGAAGAAAAAAAATCGTTTCATATCAGTATCAAATAAAAAAAATAAAATAAAAATATCAATTAATTATTAATCAATATCATTAAGATTTATGTTTTTATTTATTTTGCTTTATTCGATTAGTAATTTTCATTAATTTTAATGACATAGTATCATCCATTTCTCAGCTTTGTACTTCTTTCGATGGTTCGGCATTTTATATTAATTGAAACCAGTGAAAATCGGTATTTTGTTAAATAGCTGTTGAAATTATAGTTTCATTTTGAATTATATCTTCTTCTCTTCTTTTTTTTTAAACTTAATGAATGTATTTTGAAGTGTTGCACTGTGTTTTAATGATAGACGTTATATGTTTGCAAAGCAATGCGTTTTTTATAAATAAAACCTAATAACGTCTAAACCTTCATTGGTAAATATTTTTCTATTTCATCAAAAAGCATACCTTTTTGTATATTTGTAGAAAAGACTAATTAAGAATATTTGTTGTTTTAAAAAGTATTTCATAGTATGTTTAAATTACAGTTTCTCTCTTTGTTGCAGTTGATGCCATGCACTTATATGTCTTATTCTCTTTGGTCGATTGTTTGTTATTTTACGTACAATTCGAGAATATTTTTCACTTATATAGTGACACTATTAATATGTACTGGTGAAGGGCTTCAAATTTAGACCTTTACTCGGTCTTTGAGCAATGTGGGTTCTTTGCCAGCGCCTACTGTGACGCGGGACCTTTAAGGTCCGAAAGACTTGTAATTTTCACTTCTATACCAGGCGCTTGACGAAGGAATAGCGAAATATTCGGTTTTAATAAGATATTTGTTATATATGTTGAATTCCAATAAGAGTAAGGAATACATGATTTAGACTTTAGTCATCAAGCCGTTTCACACCAAACATCACACTGTACTCCTCTGTTATATAATTTTGACGTTACATTAAAATGTTTTCAATATAAATATAAAAAAAAAACATAATCTATTTTTATGAATTACATGTACCAGTTATGACTCCAATTCTCACACAAATTTAGTCAACATTATAGGTTTTATATTTCCTCCATTCAATAACCGGCGATCATTCACGGTAGCTCAGTCGGTAGAGCGCTCGCTCCGTGATCGGGATGTCTTGAGTTCGAATCTCGGCCGCGACTGACCTAAGTCGATAAAAATGGGTAGCAACTGTTCCTTCGCCATGCGCTCGGCACTTTGAAGTGAAAGTTGCGGGTCCTTCGGATGAGACCTTAAAAACCGAGGTCCCGTGTCACGGCAGGCGTTGGCACGATAAAGATCCCTCACTGCTTAATGGCCCTGAGGGCCGAGTAAGTGTCAAAATTTGAAGTCCTTCACCGGTATATGGTGACGTCTCTATATGAGTGAAAAATTCTCGAATGGGACGTAAAACAACATACAATCAATCAATCAATCAATAACCGGCGAAGCATAGTTGTAAAGGCGTTCTGAATGCAGAGGGTATTCAAGGATCTAATACACCACGCAGGCCCTTTTTTATCTTTTGAAAAAAAAGTATTCGCCGAGTTAGCAAATAAACAAGAGTGTAAGTCCGGTATTTAAAAGCAGGACTTTTTGTAGGACAAAACTAATAAAAGAATAAAATTTTACCTATAAAAGCAGTTTTATCGATTGTGTAATGGTGACTTAGTAGTGGCTTAAAGATGGCTTATAGACAGCTTAAAGGATTTTGAACATTGAACATCGATAAGTATGAATTAATGGTGGCTCAATGGTGACTTAAAGACTGTCTAGAAGTCACCTTTAAGCACATGTAAGCCATCTTAAAGCCATCTTTAAGCACCCATTAAGGAGATTAAGATGGCATAATGGTAGCTTAATGATGGTGTATATACTACTTAGACATGTTAGAGATAGTTTAAGATTGCGCGATACAACGCGATCTGTAGGAATAGCATTCTCAGTGTACAGAAGGGATTTGTAAATCTATGAGATGTAAACCTGTTAAGATTTTATGACATTAATTCAAATCAAAGCACTTTTTTGTCATTTTGGAAATATGTTTACCTGATGTCGTGATGTACGTTAAATGTGTGATTTTGTTTTGCAAAAACCAATTTTTCAAGCAAAAAATTACATATTAATTTGATTCTTTGGATTATCAAGATCTATATGTTACACATAATCATATGTTATTAATAAAAGATATCATGAAAATTTATTATCAAAAGTTGTTAACTGTTTCGACCTATGTGCCATTTTGTCGCCTGAAAGCTGTTTTTTTAAATTCCATATGCACCAAGATTAAATATTTAAAGCAGTGTTGGAAATGAACTACGAAAGGAAGCACTTATTTCATAATTTCAAATGCAGCCTTAATGTTCAATACCATAAAACATATTGTTACTCTGCTGCGCAGGAAAAATTAATTAAATTTAAAACGCATATAACTAATTGATTGCTTTCTGTCAGTGTATTTTAATTTCATAGATTTAATGTTACATGTAGGTACTGTAGTGCCATTAAGTTTTTAAATTTACTTGTAAATACGAAATTTAAAATGTTTTCATATTCTAAATTTTGAGTTTACATGTACTCCTATCCAGTTAATTCAAAATCTCAAACATTACAGTAGCCATATGCATGTATATTGAATGCTAGGGACTTAGTAAAAAGAAAACACAAAGAAGTTTCAAATATGCATTATTAAAACTGAAAATAAAATAAAAGTTCGGACTAACTTTTGGAGACAATACAAATAATATTTTGAATTATAGATATCAAAATTGACAATGAACCAATAGTCCAGTGGATACTTTTTCAGGAAAAAAATTAAAAATTTAAAATACAGATATTCAAACTTGACAAATCATAATATGTAAAATGCCTAAAAATGTTAAATATTTTGAAACCACAGTATTGATATGGTACCATAAAAGAGATTTATCTCTTCAGAAAAATATAAACAAAATTAAAGATTAACTGTGAACTTTCATTTTTTTCTACTAGTATCACTTTTATGAGATTTCTTAACAAGTCTCCGTTGTTTTTATATAAGATCCAGTCCTTCGAAGATTTTCCTTAATAATTTGACATAATATTAACCGGTCTCATAAGATACGTCCTTATGTACATTGTACAAAGGAAGTTAAAAGACTTTGATATTAAATTCTTATTACACGGAAGCCGACAACGATTATATTGAAATCTATTAAGTGCCATCTCCTTAGATAAAATGTTTGCAGAAGCGCTTAAGTTGGGAATTTTTATCTCTGTATTATGTAAGTATTCTTTTAATGGAATTCGTGAATTCGCATACCTTATTAATGGTCACCTGCACATCTAATTTGTTAAAAAGATTCTTATTTTACATACAAATACCCCGAGGTTATTAAAAGATGTTTGAATTTCCCATTAAAAGTATCAATGCCGTTTTAGGAAACCAGGTCTTTCAACAATACGTTAGAATTCCCATTTGTTTTAATTGGTCACTACGCATTTGTGCTCCGTTGTAAGCAAAATTGTTTTTTTTGTATTCTTATAACGCAAAATTTGCTCAAAACTATTTACATAAAAAGAAGTCATTTGCTGTGCCCATAAATTCGACGACGGTTTATCGATGAACAATTTTTATTTTCATACATTTTTATATATCCCATGGAAATCGAAATAAAAGACAGCACAGAGTCTGACACATCTGTTTTATATTAACTAGAGAAAGAGTTTGATGGCTATAGTTAACATAAATTTTGTGATAAACGTGATGACTTCAACTTTTCTATCAACAACTTCCTTTATTTATGTAGCAATATGCCACTATCACATCTATACGGAGAATGTGTCTCCGAGTTGTTTCGATGCTCAAGGGTATGTTCTACGTACGAACAATTTCGTAAACAAGGCAGGCTATTGGCAAATGAGTTGATGTTACAAAGATATCAACAATATCGTTTAAAGTCAACATTTATCGAATTCTAATGATGATACATGTAATGGCCTTGTTTGCAAATAAAATGTTCACTGATATCTTACATACAGATTATAAGGTCATTATTTTCATATTTAAATACTGAATTGGCTAGCTAGGGATTTTTCCGTTTGCTTGATTATAACAAGCACACACAACGGGTGTGACCGGACGACAGAGGATGCTTACTCCTCAATGACACCTGATCCCTCCTCTGTTTTCAGAGGTCTGTTTTCACTAAGCACATGTACCTGCACAATATCCATATATAGTTCTATTATTTTATATAGATTAAAATTTAAGATAGTATGCGTGTAAAAGGTTGAAAACTGATATTTGAAATATATTGGATTTCTGACCCCATACTATATTTATATCAAATATGATCAATTTATACAAAGGTTCTGATTTTCAGTAACAAAAATATTTTATCAAAAGAATCAATTTGTAACATATGCCTTTATTAAAAGTCAAAGTCTTGCAACCTATTGATTACAATTATAAAAGGTAATCTTAGGAAAATTCTAGTAAATTCAAATGTACATGTATGGGTTGGTGGGGGTGGGGGTGAGTATTTAAGATTTTGAAAAAAATCGTGCAGGGATGGTACAGAATTAATATGGTATGTATTCAATGTTTATTTCGTTGTGCATCCTGGATATATATATCCCCCCTCCCTGGCAAAAAATTAATATATTTTTCAGACGATTTCCGTACTTTATCATAAAAAATATTTAAAAATGAGAAACAACAAAACATACTAATAATGCCTTTGGATGGTGTCTCGAGAGTAAATTATATATCTCAGGGATGCATTTTACACGTTTTTATAATTATTTTTCACTGGAAATGTTCACGTTCAGCTTAACTATTTAATAAATTATAACAAAAATCTAACCATCATCCTAAAGATTTATACCAAAGGTATTTAACATTCACATCAATTTAATGTTATAAAACATCCCCATTACAAGGAAGATATCAAATGTACACTGTTTAAACGTTGGAACATTTTTACGTATTTAAGGAAGTATTATGCTCAAGGACTTGAGACATATTACTGTGTACTTAGTATTTAATTACCAAGATAAATATGTTTCCTTATTGTGAATGAACTTGAATAATCTCGAGCAGGAAAAAAAAACACGACACTCATAAATTTCTGCAGAAATTTATTTACTTTTTTGCTTTACAAGAATCTCTATAGATGAGTTATTGCTCTAACCTTTCCTCGTGTTTATTTTATATGCTAAGATTTTACAATAAAAACAGATGGAAAACGATAATTAATAAAGCTGATTTGTATAATATTAGTACAGTTTATATCAGAAGTCAATCAGCAATACTATTATTTCATGTGTTCCGTGGATTGCCTATAGAAGACTTATTTTTCTGAAATAAAATTAATTACTTTTGTGATTGCGATGCAATTTTAAAAATTTTTTTAGTCAAATTTTGCACCTTTGGCAGAAGAAGCAAGACAATAAATTAACGAATGTTAAAAAAAAATTCAAGTGAAATATTTAAAGAAACAATTAGTTTAAAGACTAGAGTTTCTGTTGACATTCTAGACATATGATTTTGTGATACCAACAATCTCAGCTGTAAAAAAAAAAGTTTTGTTTATTTAATCAGAATTATTTCATGTCCTTGGAGAACTTTTAGCTGGGCAAGTATTACGATAGGTTTACCACATGAATATATATTTTTTTAATTTAAACAAGGTGAAGTGGGTGCACACATTTTATACATTGTTTTTGCTTCCAGAGCATTCAGTGTGTGTGCGCAAAATTTTAATCTAGAAACAAAAATGACAATGTATAATGTTTAACTGATTTAAGTTTACAACTATTTCTTCAATATTTCATCTAACTCTAGATCTGTATGCATGTAGGAAATGTTCTCAGAAGAGGTTCTTCATTTGAGCTGTTTACAGTATACAGACAATAAAATTTAAACTTAAATTTTCATAAAGTGATACTGTTCTTCTACAGTCATTGTGTAAGTATCTTTTTCTGCTGTGGTCAATGAATGCCCAAGCCACTATAACTTATAGATAATCACCAGATTTTGTCTACACAAAATTATGTCAATTGTACCAAAAAAAAAAAGCTTAAACAGAACTACACGAAACATTTCTTATTCTGTTTCATTTCTAATAGTTGACTACACGTACAGTGAGTGTTTAGGATCCCGATGTGGAGAATGTCTGATAAGGGATAGTTGTGCTTGGTGTAAAGACAGGGTAAGTGTAGAGAGAGAGAGAGAGAGAGAGAGAGAGAGAGAGAGAGAGAGTTTGAGTTTCCAATATTCTATAATGTCTGCAAATATTTATTTTTGAATTACATCTGTTAAACATTCAGTCTTTTTTGAAGTGCATGTTATCAAATTTAATGACTTATTTATTTCTTATTTATCTTGATTTTATTGGACGTATTTTACAATGATAAAAATGTGTCATCAAAGCATATATGAAAAGATGACAACACAAGTACCTATCTCCGAATTACAAGGAGTATTCCCCTCCCTAGAAACGCTTTCCACAATCATGCAGGAGTTCTTCATAGGATTTTAGAACTTGAGTCCCAGGAATCATACTTTTTGAGAAAGTTGAGAAATTAATCTGTTCATTGTCTTCAGTAATTGAAAAATAGGGATGGGGTATGCCACTTTGATCCTCGATGTATTATCACAGAATTTTACATGTTTTAAGGAATAACTGTCTAATTTTTTGGTTTCATGATGTGATCAATCGATTGGCTTGCGTGATAATTTGCATAAACGCCGAAGGCGTTTATGCATAAAATTATCACGCAAGCCAATTGATTGATCATCGTCATGAAACCAAAAAATCTGACAGTTATTCTTTATATTTACATGCTCTTCATTCTGCAAATTCACGTGCTACAAGTCCCGCTTCTGTCTCTATTTGTCCCGCCCCTCAACTTGATTTTTTTTTCACCACGCCTTTCGATGAACCAGTAGATTTATGTAGAAATAAATAGTATTCTATTTGAAATTTTATCTCAGACAAAGACATTGGAAATGTAAATATATAAAGTTATGATCAGTTCCTTTAAATTTTATTCATATTTTGAGGACTTTAAATTCTTTCATCCATGTTCTTCGATTATTAATCTAGGACTTACTACTGTTTTTTTCAAACACAAATAAGAATTTATATGCAATTATATTTCTTCATATCTATTTTTTTATTCTATGCACAAAGCTTGAGAATAATTTCCAATTATACTCATTTAGCGGGGTTTTTTTTTTCTTTCTGTGATGATGGTGATGATAATAATAATGTTAATAATATTTAACTCTAAATAAATCTACAAGAAATCATTTTTGGGTTATCCGGAATTTCCTTTAGTAAAAAAGAAAGATGATATGTATTATTTTGTGTAGAATAAAAATATGTTAAACATGCTCGATATAAATTACAATTTTTTTTTTAGAATTTCACAAAATCACGGTGTGGAGAGGAAATACGTTTGAAGCAGGATAACTGCAGAAATATAGTCAGAAGGCAGAACCATACAATTGATTTAGTCAAGGTGCGGTAATTATAAGAACTTATCAGAAAAATCTACACATTTATATTATAATTTAATACAGCCATGTGCACGTGCAATGGGAAAGTGTCGTAGAAATAAGAGTACAATCTATGTCCCTGAAACCTATATATTTTATGTAAGTTAGACGAATATTCAATATAGGGAAAACAAAGGTACAAAAGTATAACTATACTGAAGATACTGTTCACACACACCTAATTGACAAACGTTTATCCTTTGCTACATGTATGATAAATATCGTTGCTTAGAATAAGAATATCATAACATTCTCAATCCAATCACAAAAGAAACAAGTTCATCTCAATACAATTGGTTTCAAATTTAAAAGGCAATCATTTAATTTTCTAAAGAAAATTTCAGCTTTGTCTATGCTATTTCCCATTCGATCAATCTGATATTTGTATTTGTACTCTCTCTCTCTCTCTCTCTCTCTCTCTCTCTCTCTCTCTCTCTCTATATATATATATATATATATATATATATTAGATTGGTTATTGGAATAACTTTAAGTGTTTATCAAAAGCATCAAATGCCATAATATCCCATACAATACCATATCAGATCGTGTCATCACTTTTTTTCATCAAACCAAAGCATTCAGACGTTATGCATTGCAAAACATATCTCAAACTTATAGCATTAAACTTTAAAAGATGAGCATGAAATATATAACATTGAATCTTTAAAGACTTATTGATAACCAAAAGTATGTAAATATACAACACAGTCATTGTACATTATACATTTCTAGTGTGATCAAGAAAATATTTACAGTTATAAATGTAAAAGGGATCCTGGTATACAGGTGATAAAGAACGTACGATGGCATTAATTATCGATAAAAATATTATTATTATTTGCTTTCGGGGTCCTCATTTGCATATATACAAAAAATATTTCTCTTCTTGAACTTGTACATGTAAATCTATAGGGTGTACATGTAGCACGGACATTTTATTTGAACATTTTAAACTTGGAATATATTTATATCATAATCATTTTAGTTTTTAATAGTGAACTTAATAGTGACAGTAAAATAAAATAAAAGTTTATTAAATAAGGATGGACATTAATAGTGCACCACATGCAATGACTTTTTAATTGGAAAAGAGACTTTAATTCTATGAACTATAATTATCTTGTTAGAACAAATTGTATTTTGATATTGGTACAGTGAACTATAATTTTGTTTATTCTTTTGTAATGAAATTGATTAGAATAGGCCAATCAGGCCCATCGATACTAACTAATAAAATTTGAACGGAAATGCAAAGTTACTATTAAGATTCATGACTAAGAGCAATAATGTTAGGAACATTGAAGTAAATAAATAAAAGAGCTTAGGACTAGAACTCCTGTTGTGCAGAGATGGGGACTGAGCTCATAAATAATAATAATGATTGGAGGGTGGTGCCATGTTATGGTTCATTGGTCAACGGACAGACCTACGGGCCAAGCGTAGGTGGCAAGGCAATATTGAAACAGCCAATAAAAAGTACTTTTATATCCCGGACGATGAATACCCTCTTAGCATAAAATACCCTGTTTGCCAGAAAACGGCGTTCTTTGGTTCTTTTATTCTTTTGACTATCCTTCGGGAATCATTTTAATGGACTTTTCTTACCTTTGGGTTCTAGTTCTCAGCTCTTCTTGAATATTTTGGATTTAACTTAAATTTTTTTATTGTAACAAGTTCTTTGGTTTATTCTGATGACATTCCAAGAATTATAATTAAAAATCTATACGATCAAGATGAATTAATAAACTTTTGAAAAAGATAAAAACATCTTTGTTATTGGCTTACAAACTTATTAAAACGAAAAGTATGTCTAAGGCATTTTTTGAGATTGTAGTGTATGATAATTGCTGTAGGATGAATAGAGTTACGTAGAAATTAAAAAAACGATAAATAAAACTGCATGTGAAACAATGTTTTTGAATCTTCTTGTCGGCCTATAATAAGTATCTTAATATTGGTTTCCCACAGGACAACGATTTTTCGGACGGTGGAAAGAAACAAGACGCCGTTCAAATCAAACCACAACACGTAAAAATCAAATTGGTTCCAAGTAAGTAGAATTTAGTTGCAAAACATCGTCATTTAAATCATTTCTAAAATTCATAAATGATTAATTTATTAGTATTTTTTGTATTTATTTTAGAAAGTACCTTCTTAAAAATAATATTTCTTTCCTGCATTATGTGGATTTTATTTGTTTTTTCTTGTAACTCATATCCTTTAGAAAACTGTAGATTGGGCAAAAAATGAATTAACCCCTCCCTCCCAAAAAGGGTCAATATCACTCTAATTTAGGATGATTTTGTAAATGTTTTATGGAGAGAAATGCAGTAAGCGATTCTAAATAATTACATGTAAAAGTTATTAGAACAACGGTCTTTATATATTTGTCAAAATAGCCACCTAATAATTTGTTTTCAGGAGATATGTATAATTTATATATCTGACTGAATCAAATCGGTTAATAGTGTACATTTAATGGAAGCAAATTAAAAAAAATCTTAAAACAAAATATTACATGTTTACTATCTTTCAGATACACCTCTAAAGGACTTCTACGTGAACTACAAAGTTGCAAAGAATTTTCCGCTAGATCTTTACTTTTTAAATGAACCGTCCAAGACCATGATGACATTAAAAAACACCTTAAAATCTCTTACAAAAACTATCGGTATGTAAAATCTCATTTGACATACAAAAAAGGGAATAAATTATGTAAATTGCTATATATGAGAAACAAGTTGATGAGTGAGAGAAAGAGAGAAACATACAGAGAAAGAGAAAAAGTTACTACCGCAGCATATTTTACTGCCTCGGAATCTGGTCATAATAGACGTACATTGATATTGCTCTGAAGAAAATATAAACTATCTTAAAAATAATTTTACAAGTGTAGAATGCAGAACAAATCATAGCATCTGTATATATATGTGGCGAACTAAAAAAACTTAAACACGAAGATGCTCGTTTCTTTTTTCCATAAAACTGTAATTCCTAAGTATTTTCAGCGAAGGAAATAGACGATGAGAATAATACAGACATTCAGTATGGATTAGGGACTGCCATGGATAAGCAACTTCTTCCATTCACACGAATTCACCAGCTGTAAGTAATTCTTATATTATTATATTACAGTTACGTTAATTAAAGATTAATCTATTTTCTCAAGGAGAGATACATCACAACCCACTGATGGTAAGACTCTAGGTAGACGATGTCAAAATATAAAAGTATCCCTTGTAGACTAATCACACCAGCTGTGAGCCCTATGTATTGATCAGGTAGACAGAGAACACCGTTGTCGACTTTAGCATAAAAAACGATATCGATAGACATACAAATGGTATGAGACATAAACACGACTCTACGATAGGTTGTATTTACAAACAAGGTCATTAAAACGACCGTAGAATTTGCAAAAAAAGCTTACTTTTAACGGGGTTGTTGAATATCTTGCAGCATCAAATTATTTGTCAGAAGCTTGTCTTGATTTATTTATTTGTTTGTTTGTTTTCACGTCTTCGAAAATTTTTCATGAATACTGTACAACAATATTTTCGAGAAGTTTGTTTTCACGTCTTCGAAAATTTTTCATGAATACTGTACAACAATATTTTCGAGAAGTGGTGTAAATCAGATGCTGATACTTAAAAATTAACTTTTTGAAAATTTGAAATCAAAATTTTTACCAAAAACAATAATATCAAAACATACGATTTTCAACACTCTATACAACCATTCCCCACCCTAAATTTAAGTCCAGGCTTTTTGACATTATTGACAGCTGCTTTTTCATTAAAAATGGAACTCGTAAATTTACCTACCTAGTCATTGGTCATTTGCAACATTATTTTGTAAAAAAAAAAAAACATTCTGATTGTACACAAAAGTACTCTGAGGTTGATTTGTTTGTTTGTTCTTAAACATCCATCTCGAGAATTTTTCACTCATATATATGGAGACGCCACCACTTGCCGGTGTAGGGCTGCAAATTTATACCTGTACCTGGCACTCAGGGCCATTCAGCAGAGAGGGATCTTTTTCGTGCCAACACAACTGCGACACGGGACCTCGATTTATACGGTCTCATCCGAATGACCGGTCTCCAGGTCTCGCAGTGGATTCGAACTCCGCGACTCTACAGCAGACGCTCTAAACACTGCGCCATACGGATGACCTCTGAAGTTGACATTAAAAAGATGCTTGAGTTTCTGATTGACAATATCTATGTCGTTTTTTGGAAACTAGGTCTTCCAGCAATCTGTCGGAATTCTCATGGGTATCCCGTGATTAGCAGACCTTTTTTGTATTCATATGCAGCAGAATTAATCAATTTATTCAAAATCTTATACATGAAAAGAATAGATCACTTGCAGTGTCCGTCAACTCGACATTTAGATATATCGACGACGTATTATCAGCTAAAATTAGTTACTTCCATTCATATGTCGACTAGTGAGCTTGTAATAAAGGATATCACAGGGTCTGATACATCTGTTTCATATTTAGACATTTTACTAAAAAAGAACAATAATGGTAACCTAAAATCAAAGCTTTATGATAAACGTATGACTTCTAATACTTTTCTATCGTCAACTTCCCTTATTTATTTAGCAATAAACCTTATTCACTTGCACATGGGGTTTATGTTTCTCAGTTCATTCGATACGCAAAAGCATGCTGTACGTACGAACAACTAACAAGTTGATGAAAAAAGAATATCAACAGTCTCATTTAAAGTCATCATTTCAAAAGTTCTATGGCCGATATAATGACCTTGCCAGCAAATACAATCCATCATTTAATTTAGTCAAATGCTGACTGACGTTTTTCATACTAATTGCCAGGCTATTTTTTACACACTGGATTGTCTACGATTTTAGCATTTTTCCCGATCATGACAAGGAGCACACGGTTGGCAGGGGATGCTCACTTCTCCATGACACATTATCCCATGACTGATGTTTTAGAGGTCCGTGTTTGTTCTGCTCCCGATTTGTATTGTTTAAATGGACTTTTGAGCTTGAATACTGTTCGTTATCTCTGAATTTCATTCATATTGGGACATCACCAGTTGCCGTTGGAGCGCTGCAAATTCAGACTTGTAATCAGCACGTAGGGCCTCTGAGAAGTTAGGAATCTTTTTCATGCGATCACTTACTGTGCCACGGGACCTCAGTTTATACGGTCTCATCCGAAGAACCGGTCTCAACGCCCTGCAGTGGGATTCCGACCCTTGCATCGGTTTTGATATATTCGTATTCAGAGCATTGCTTATTCATAAAACGTCATCGATAAATCTTATATGTTGAGTTGAATACCACAGCAAAAGTTTTGAATAAATTCTGCTTCATGGGAATATTAAAAAAGTCAGCGAATAAAGAAGCGCGTTTAGTGCCCTCAGAATTCCAATTCCAAAAGATTGTTAAAAGTTCTCCAAAGATCTAGTCAAACTAAGAAACAAATCGCTATGTGCTGACAAAAATATGGACAGTTGCAATATTTATGAGTTACTTTTTAAAATTTATTTTTTAGTGAACCTTTTTTTTGTTTAACTCGCTTCAAAAAACAAATGTTAAATTTATTATAAAGGAAATTATTCGGTGCATTTCTTCACAGTACAATTTAATTCCCTCAATAAGGATCGGAAAAATAACAGAAATTAATAATTTCTTGCAGCGTCATCGTACATGATTTCCTACAAACTGGCAAGGAAAAAAAATATATCATGTTCAGCATGATATGCCATGATTGTGCATGCTACATGTATGTGGCATCATAAAATCCCTTTACATATGAGATTTTTATAATATGGAATGGGGTTTGCATGCTATCTTATGATTACGAATTAAGTTGTAATTGATGAGAATATGAAATGGTTGTACTTATTCCAAAAAAATAACAATTAAAAACAAATATGTCCATCTTTAATGAATGCTCACTTGTCCTCTGCGATTCAAGATAGAAATATAGGTAGGTAGGTTGGTAGCTAGATAGGGAATTTAAAAAAAACAAAAACAAAAATCTTGTGCATATAAAATTTAAATAGTTGTGGAAGGGATAAGAAAATTTTGAAATGAATAAAAAATTATGGTTTCCTGGAGGCTTAAGACGTTTTGAGTCGGACCATTTTAATGAGTCGGTCAATAGAAGGCAAACAGAATCTTTTCAAAAGATGATCTTACATATATACCGTTGAAAGTGTGTTTTCCTTTACCATTCCTGTTGACTTTATCACGAAAATTTTCTCTACAGCACAACTGACACATGTGAAGGATCTAATAACCAGTTCAAGTGTGAAAAGCCCTACTCCTACCATCATCTACAAAAACTAACAAAAAACACCACAGAATTCGAGGTTTGACTTCAATTAAAAGTTGCTTTGACAATTAATGTCGTACAAGATGAATATATGTGTATTAAAATTGGGATTACTGATTTTTATAACTGTTGATATCTTTGAAATCCCATTTCCTTTCAGTGCAAAAGAAAATGTCCACATTATAAAAATCAGTAATGTTTTACATGTGTAAGCAATTATCTTAAACATATCTCATGTTTCAGAATGCTGTTGATGAAATTATTGCCACAACAAACTTTGACAAACCAAATGGAATGCTTGATGGTTTGATTCAAGCCATGGTTTGTGGGGTATGATTTCATATCTTAAAAAAATATATATTTAAGCAATTAAAATCAAAGGCTTAATACTAACCTTTTCAATAACTTGTGCAATTAAACATTGCTAAATCACTCCATATTCACAAAATATCAAATAAAATGCAATTAAACAAGTTTTTTTTTTTTTAGAGGAATGCATTGTTCATAGAATCATACATAAACGTTAGAAAATAAAAATAAACTGAAAGTTTTGTAATCCAACAATACTAATGATGATCAAACAAAAATGCAACATTTTCATTGTTGAAATATTCCAACTAATTGATAAAAACAAAAAATAAAAGATAAAGTGTTAAATTAAAGAATCACCTAATTGTAAAATGAATTTGTAGATAACTAACTTTTATTTGCAGGATAAAATTGGTTGGAGAAAAAAAGCCAGAAGAATGCTGTTTTACTCTACTGACGCAACTTTTCATCACGCCGGTGACGGAAGAGTAAGTTTATTAAAGATTTTCCTTGATTGAAGTCAAAATTTTCCTTTGAAATTTTCCTTTTACTTCAGAGTGCCGAGTGCATGGCGAAGGAACAGTTGCTACCCATTTTTTATCGACTTAGGTCTGTCGCGGCCGAGATTCGAACTCTCGACCTCCCGATCACGGAGCGATCGCTCTACCGACTGAGCTACCGTGAACGGTAAAGATATTTGAAAAAAACAAAACAGTCTTTTTACAATATCTGTATAAACACAGGTTTCTCGTGTTATAAATGTTCGACACAACTTCTCAGTGGCATCATAAAGTTTGACACGCATTCAATGGATCAAACTTGTGCCGTTTAGTTTTGAAAAATAAAACATTTCATGCCTAAAGATTATCATCAGGCAAATATATATATTATGATTAAGTCACAAATGCAAAAATAAGTAATATCATTTTAAAACATCTTTCTTAATATAAATACGGTTTGGTACGTGAACAAATTTATTATAAAGCCCTTCGGGCTTTATGGAATTTGATCACGAGACCAACCCGCGTATTTATATCCCGATTAATGTTTAGAAATGATACCTTATTTCTTAATAATCTCTTGTTATTTGAAATCCTGAAAAATGATACATTCTTCATGAAAGCGTGCATTTACATTTTTAAAAAGATTCTCCCCCTCCTCTTTCACATAAAATATAAATAAATCAGTAACAGAAGCATCATCTTGTCATACATTTCTACCAAAGAATTTATTTCCTTTCCTACCTATTCGAATGATACTTTTACGTCTCTTCCTCTCTACATATATCATATGGTACATGTACTTCAATTGCTAACATTAAAGCATGCAGTCATCGATTGTATGTAGTTTTATGCCCTGTTCGAGACTTTTTCACTCATATATAGACGTCAATATATATATATTTACCGGTGAAAAGTTTCAAATTTAGACCTTTACTCGGCACTCTCTGAGCAATAAGGCATCTTTATCGTTTAAACGCCTGTCAAAACGGGGCCTCGGTTTGTAAAGTCCTATCCGAAAGATCCACAACTTTTACTTCAAAGTGCTGAGCGCGGGGTAAAGGAACAGTTGCTACATGTACCTATTTTTTTCATCAACTTAAACCGGGATTTAAATCCACGACCTTCTGATCACAGAGTGAGCGCTTTGAAGTTATAAAACCTGCTTCAAATACTTTTGTCATGCCATTTAATTTGTACATAGTGTCCAGCATTGTAGTTTAGTGCAATTTCAACATTTTATGGTATAAAGATGTATTACATGCAGTTCTAGAGTTTATGGATTATAAAATGTGTATCTAGAGGAGGTTTGTTCTAAAGTGAAGATTAGCATTAAGTGATGACTACGTTTTCATTTTATTTGACAGTTAGCCGGAATTGTTGACCCAAATGACGGCATATGTCATCTAGATTCGTCCGGATTTTACAGAATGTCCGAATTACAGGTACATATTATATAAACTCTCTTCACTTTTACATAATGAACTACGTTGAAAAAAAAGACAGGAAATCTGGAAAAAAGTGAATCAATGACTTTAATGCATAATTTAAATAGTAGCTATAACTATAAATCTTTTTGTATTCGCGGGATCTTTTTTTAATTCCGCGTAATCACAGGAGACTGTTTGCTCGATAAAATTTAATTCTCGCGTATATTTGTATTACTACAGATTATATTGAACAAAAATCAAAGTTCGTGAAAATAATCACTCGCTATAAATACCAAATGACCGTCTCGCGAAAATAAGGGGTCTTTAAATGTGGTGATCTTCAGTATAAAATCCACGACCTTTATCATTTTTTTTTTACATTTTAGGACTATCCATCACTTGGTCAGGTTATACAGAAGGCAAAAGAAAACAATATCAATATAGTTTTTGTTATCGGTGGGAATTTTTCGGAAGTAACAAAACAAGACTTGGCGAGACTCTACTACGACACACTTACTGCTACACTACCAGGTGGAATTCAAAGTGCTTCCAAGTTGTGGAGAAATGCAAGCAATATTTTGGATATTGTTGTTGACAACTATAAGGTTAGAGAGATGGTGATTAAATGTTTCTTTTTTTTTTGTAAATATCCCCATTTTCCGAATTTAAACACGATACATGTATTTATTCAGATACTATCTAGGTCTATAAGTTTGATATATACAGTACCTACTCTCAAGCTTTGTAAAGATAAATTTTGCATTTGAAAATCAGTTTGTAACAGCTTTACAAGAGGATAAATACACAGTAAAATGATTATATCTGAGGTAACTGCAAGTCTTCAATTTGATGATGTAGATAAAGTTTGAGGTTACAAGTACCGCTTCATTTTTCATCTCATACTAACTTATGATAGATTGATTTCATGTTGAAATACTAGTTATTAAAGTAAAATTAAAAAAAAAAGTTTTAAAATTTTAGATAAGCTGTGTATATAAATAATATGGAAAGAAAACTGCATTCCAATATCATGTTTACTTCAGAAATGTATGATGAAAATGGAAATCAGGCAAAATGTCGAAGGTCAATACATGTATAAGAAAAAATCAAGAATTGCATGATTGGAATTTGGTTGATATTTATACAGCGCTACCTGAACTAAAGTTGAAATATCAAATTTTTAATGATTGGTGGCTAGAGGATAATAGATGTACATAGATCCTTGGGTGGGTCATTTCATGAATTAAGGCCAAATTGATTGTAAATTGTAATAATTATTTCAATGTTAAGCGTAACTCATATTTGCTGTCGTTATACGGTGTGAACAGTACGGAAGGGTAAAGATCTCTACACTTGTTTTGTTATAAGTGTATATTGTCTTATACTTTATTGTATTATCAATATATAAAATGTTGTAACTCCTTATTTATACACACATATTCTAAATTGTATTTAGATGTTTTTCCATAAGAAAAGAAGCGAGAAAATATTATTATTGAATTAACTTCGTGGGGCGGGAATTCTAATGAATCTTCACTTCACCCTGGATTCAGTGAAAGCTCCTGTATCATGTATTTGCTATCGTATACGATTATAGGCTGATACAGATTCAAAAATGTCTTGAAAAGGGGGGATGGGGAGACATCAGCAGTTAGATGATATGCATAGTCATTGTGCGCTACTGTCCCCATCACCACTTTTGAACGGGGGGGGGGTATCTTTGTGCTACCTAAGGATAGTATAGATCTGCTAATATATCCCGAAAATAAAGAAGAATACTCGCAGTTGGATAATTAAGCCTCCTGTTTTTCTTTTCAAATATTTCATTTGGCTGACCCCCATCCTTTTCCCCTTTTAACTCTCTGACTATAAGCTTATGCAGCTTGGCTGCAGTGAAGCACAAATTATTTAATACATAATTCTAAGGAATAATAAGTTAGATCTGATGTGCTGATAGTTACATTTTATCTGATATATATTCTATCATGATTCACTGCTTATATTTTTTGAGTTGGGGAGGGGGGTTCAAGACTATGGAGGTTCACGTCTATGTGGCAGATCCTACGTTTAACAGAGGATAAAAAAAAACCTCAAATATTTATAGTGTACCTAGCCAGTGTCACTTTTATAATATTGTTACTTTCGATTCATCCCCGAATAGGACTAGTACTAAATGTATTATTGAATGGAACATTGGAATTATGGTGGGGGAGGGGCGTCATTAATTATTTCAGTCACATTAGTATTTAATTTTACACATAATTTTTTGCACATAACTTTTATTTCTAAGAGAGATTGATGAATTTTATTCATGAAAAATATTAAATTATTGCTAGACTTGCATATATATTTAATTTCGTATTAATTAGAATGATGTTAATGATTATTGCTTCATTGGGGACAATCTAACTGATCATGCACCCCCTCACCACCTTATTCATCAATACGTTTTTCTGTATAATCATAGAACAAATATTTGACATTTACACATGGCACATTGTTTATGTGCCGTCAATAAATCTGAGTGATTTGACGTATCATTAGAATCTCGCATCCGCGAAATTAGTTGGAGAACAATATTTTCAAACTTTTTCCATAGAAATACTAGCATATTTTTATTAAATTCACTATTATGCATATATTTTTATTGTTCTGTGTCGAGCAAACTACATCAATATCTTTAAGTCTCATGCTTAAATCAATATTTTCAAATCAATATATTTTTTAAGTATATATATCTTTTAGCAATAAAATCCATCATACAGAAAAGATGCTTTAAATTATGTAAAAATATCCAGATTCAATGCAACATATAAATAACAAGAGGCCCAAGGTCCTTAACGGTCACCTGAGTATAATACAACAATTTAGAAGTTAAATACACTGACAGATGAAGCTTTGTGGCCCCAAAGCAAGAGAAGTAGGAAGATCAGGATCAACAAAATAATTAGTCTAGTATTCAGTATCAACTCATAACTTAAGTTCTAATCTGTCCCCCACTTAACATTATCACCATGCAGACTATTAACAAACTATTAGTGCTTCTGTACTATTTTTAAACCCATATTAAGACCTCTAGCATTGACCTCTCTTATGGTCTTTGAAGAACTTTTAATAAGATAAGTTATTTTTGTCTCATTTTTATTTATCTATTACTTACAGGTCTGCCTGATTATTAAAACTAAGAAAGTACTTTTTGAATTATACGATAAACATTCTTGCATAATTATCTTATTCTATTAATCTTTCAAATTCATTACTTACTGTGATTAATTATCAAAGGTGAATGGAAAAGGGGAATAACTTCTCTCAGTAGAATACAAATTAATAGAGCCCTGTCCAGGACCAGAATGCTTAGACAAATTGTCCAGATGTTCAAAAATCTGGTAGAAATACGCTTACTTATATCATTTAAACTTTTACTCAGTTTGCTTTCGATATGCCCAGAAGCAGAGAAGAATTTCACAGGTACAATGCATTTTCACTACAGATTCAACAAAGCCTTACCCTAACACCAGAACCCAAGACCAAAGGTCAAGAAATTTACAAATTTGGAAGAGTTAAAGAGTTACCCTCATCATCATAACTATGGACTTCAAAGAATTAACACTTTTCCACAATATTATCAAAAGCCCCCCCCCTCCCCCCTTCCTCGTTATGCCAGAACTCCTGACCCTAGGACCACAAGATTTAAAAATTCTGTTCGAAGCTCCCATCTTCATCATAGCTAAGCAATTTATTTATCAGCTCAACACTAAGGAGCAGACAGGATTAGTTAATGATTAATTAATAGAATTAATGCATTTTCACTATATAATCAATAGAGCCCCCCTCCCCCCTCCTCAAGAACCCCAAAAACTGAGGCCATGTATTTAAAAATTTTGGAAGAGGCATCCTTGCCTATCATAATCATGCACTTAGTTTGTTTAAATAATCTCCAGTAGCAAAGAAGAAAATTTTCATAGAATCAATGCATTTTCACTATATAATCAATAGAGCCCCGCCCTAACACCAGAACCCCTGACCCTGGGGCCATGACATTCACAATTTTTGAAAAGGCATCCTTATGCATCATTACCATGCACTTAGTTTGTTTAAATAATACCCAGGAGCAGAGAAGAAGATTTTCAAAGAATTAATGCATTTTCACTATATAATCAATAGAGCCCCGCCCTAACACCAGAACCCCTGACCCAGGGGCCATGGCTTTCACAATTCTGGAAGGGGCCCACCTCCTCATCATAACTAGGTACTTAGTTTATCACCTTAATGCCCAGGAGCAGAGGAGAAGATTTCAAAAGATTAATGCATTTTCACTATATAGTCAATAGAGCCACGCCCTAACACCAGAACCCCTGACCCTGGGGCCATGAAATTCACAATTTTGGAAGAGGCTCTCTTGCTCATCATAACTATGTAATTAGTGACTTAATTTAATACCCAGGAGCAGAGAAGATTTTCAGAATTAATGCATTTTCACTATATATTCGATAGAGCCCCACCCTAACACCAGAATCCCTGACCCTGGGGCCATGAAATTCACAATTCTTGAAAAGGCACTTTTGCTCATCATAACTATGTATTTAGTTACCTTATTTAATACCCAGGAGCAGAGAAGAAGATTTTCAAAGAAATAATGCACTTTCACTATATGATCTATATAGCCCCACCCTGGGGCCAGAACCCCTGACCCTGGGGCCATGAATTTCATAACTTTGGAAGAGGCACTCTTGTTCATCATAACTATGTACTTAGTTACTTTATTTAATACCCAGGAGCAGAGAAGAAGATTTTCAAAGAATAAATGCATTTTCACTATATAATCTATAGAGCCCCGTCCTAACATCAGAACCCCTGACCCTGGGGCCATGAATTTCACAATTTTGGAAGAGGCACTCTTGCTCTTCATAACTATGTACTAAGTTACCTTAGTTAATACCCAGGAGCAGAGAAGAAGATTTTCAAAGAAATAATGCACTTTCACTATATGATCTATATAGCCCCACCCTGGGACCAAAACCCCTGACCCTGGGGCCAAGAATTTCACAATTTTGGTAGAGGGCTCAATGCTTATTACAATGATGCCAACAGTTTGACTGCTTGATGTCCAGGAGTAAAGAAGAAGATTTTTAAAGATTGCATTATTTTTGGTGGTTTTATCCCCACCCCTCAGGCCCCAGGGGGGCAGGGACCATGAAATTCACAATTTTTGTTCCCCTTCATCCATAGATGCTATATGCTAAATTTGGTTGAAATTGGTTAAGCGGTTTCAGAGAAGAAGCTAAAAATGTTCAAATGTTAACACACGACGCACGACGCACGCCGACGGACGAGAACGGATAGCAATAGGTCACCTGAGTGACTCAGGTGACCTAAAAATAAGAAAGCATGACAGATTGTATGTTGATAAGACAATAAAAAGTAAGACAATGTACAAAAAATATAACACAATAAGTGTAGAGACCTTTACGCTTCCGTAGGACAGAGGTGTGTGAAGGTACATTTTGTCTTTTTGTACATACTGTTGTCGGCGACAATATGCATCTACCCTCACTGAAAATTTCATGGTTTATCGGTACATTATGTCGTCGTCTGTAAAATTATGCATGTACCTATTGTCGCCGGAAACAATATGTGCCTATCTATACCCTCATTGCGTGTATTGTCTCCACGGTTAGGTCTATCGGTAATATGGATAAGAATGATGATGATGTTCAAAAATCATATCTTAAATTTTCCTGAGATTACATGTTCACTAGCTAGAAGACAAATCCATGCATTCCAGTTGCACAATTTTAGTTGTGAAGTCCAATGAAGCATCTGCAAGTGAAATTCTATATTTCGTAGACAATGGACACTATAAAATGGATGGATGGTGCAAACAGAATGATGAAATGAATTAATAGAAAACAATCTCTCTCTCTCTCTCTCTCTCTCTGTGTGTGTGAGCCTTTCACTTTCTCCACGGCCCCAGTAAGTTATTCATCCATTCGTTATGTACCGATGTCTAAGAATCATTTTCTCAAGAGAAAAAATGTTATTCTGCCACATAATGTCACGGTGTCTTATGTACGAATGGACGACAATATATGCAGTGGGAGCAGCAAATATTGTTGCCCGCGACAATATGTACAGGGCAACTAAATGTTTCGTTCTAAACGATTTAAAAGCAAGCACTAAGTGTCGTATTTAATTGAGAAATGCTAGAAGGCGAGCAAAAAATGAACGAATGTTTAGGTAGGATAGTGTTTTCTTCTAAAGATGAGAGCGTATTAAATTGTCATGTGGAATTTTTTTTTAATTTAAGTATGTTGTGGTTTGACGCTTAGCTTTGTGGCAAACTATCCTGTTGTAAAATGGAAGTTGCAGGACTATTACCAGTTGGAGACAGAGAGTATAAACAATTAGTAGTGAAGTTTTCTTTTTTAATTCCAGAAGGTACGTGGAGTTGTCAAATTAGTTGTTAACGAAGAATTTGAAGAATTGAATGTCACCATGTACACCACATGTAGAACGGATGGGTAAGTGAAACGATTAATAAAACACTAAACTGTGGCATATTTCTGCCACCACTTGTCAGATCATTATATCGACTTTTCAGATCATTATGTCGACTTTTCAGATTATTATGTTGACATGCCAGATCTTTTTTTTCGACTTGTCATTTTTTCACGTGTTTGAAAATTCAACATGAAAATGTGTCCATCCCCATGCCAGTTTGTTCCATCAAGTTTACTTCATTTTTTTTTTCTGACAAGTCGACGATAGGATCTGACAAATCTTCATTATTATCTGACAAGTCGACATAAATATATGACTAGTCAACATATTTATCTGACAAGTGGATAAAACATCCAACAAGTTGACATCATTATCTGACAAGTCTACTGAAGATCTGATAAGTCAACTTGTCAGACAAATTATGTCGAAATGTCAGATAATTAAGTTGATTTTTCAGAAAATTATATTCACTTGTCAGATATTATGATGTCAAGTAGATTTCAGTTAGTGGGATGAACAAGCTTAAATATCAAGATACCGAGTTCCTAGTCATGATTATTATCTGACAAGTCAACATAAATATCTGACAAGTCGACATTAAGATCTGACAAGTCGACATAATTATCTGATAAGTGGTGGCAATAATATTCCACTATAAATTTGAGATTAAAAACCACTTTTCTGTGAACATTTGTCGCCCCTCATGCAGACGTTGCCTGCGACAATCTATGAAAGATAGTATGGAGCTTGCTGTGATGAACTTTAACAAATTTAACTATTATATAACGTTTACTGTGCTATAAATGTGCGACAAGATACATACATACACACACACACACACACACACACACATATATATATATATACATATATATATATATATATATATATATATATAGAGAGAGAGAGAGAGAGAGAGAGAGAGAGCAAGTTCAAGAGGCGGTAAATCAAATCTACACAAACTTGTTGTAAAGCTAATTTCTGCTTAATAACGTAAACTCTAAGAATAATGCATTTACAGTATATTGTGGCGAACTTACTCAATCTTAATGGAATTTTGCAGCAGTCACTGCTGTACTTATCTTGAGTGAATTCAGGCATGTATATCAGCAGGTTGTCAAAATATCTCAGATACTAATGATTGATATGTACCAAACGATGTTAGTTTAATTACAATATACCACTAGAGCTACCCTATTGGTTTGGCGCTCGCTTCGTAACCAGGAGGCTTAGGGTCTTTTCTCAATCCCTGTACGCGGGATTTGAAATGCTAGTCAGGGGACTCGAAATACTGAGGTCTCGTCTAATTGCTACGTCTGTAAGCAACGTGCAAAGATTAAAGTTTCTGACTCTTTACCTCAAGCTAGTGACCTGTCAACCTGTTGTGAAATTCTGGAAGTTAAATATAACAATCAATCATGCGTAATATCAATTTAATATGCAAATAATTTTTACATGTGTATCACTGAAAGTAGAACTTTTAGTACATGATTGTATGTAAATGTAATAAATTTAAAATTACAATGTATGTGTTCAATTAACAAATTACATATTGTTTGTGCAGAACACTTGCTCAAATGTTAAGAAACATGAGCACATTTTCTTTTTTATAGTCGACATTGGACTAAAACAAACATTTGTTTCGGACTGAACCCACATAAAGAGGTAAGACATGAGAAGTACTGTTTAAAACGCAAGTGGTTACAGCATATATAACATGTAAATACTTAATAAAAAATGACCAAATCCTTGAAACAATCCTCATTTGAGGAATTAAGCAATAATAATTTAACACAAGACAATGAATAAATAAATATATAAATAAATAAAACGGATAATACACTGTATTGTATTTGGAAGGAATCCAAACAAATCATATTGCTCTTTGTATACAAAATATTCCTGACTGTATGTTTAAGGGAAAACTCTAATTTTTGTATTATTTTAATCTTCAGGCTCATTTCCTTCCTTATGTACATGCAACATTCGAAAAGTGTCCTGAAAATGAAAAATTAAACTTTACCATTTTCCCTGAGGGTTTGGAGGAGCGAGTGTTTGTGGAATTAGAACACGTGTGTAGATGTGAATGTGAACTGGAACCTGAGGCGGTATGTTTTCTTACAATGAACTCTCTAAATTTAATCACATAAGAATGGAGCTTTAAAAAGACGATATGATCACTTTCGAATTAACTGGCTCATCTAAATGCTGTTCTTTGTTAGCTGGAGGAATCCTGTCACAGCACATATTGTCGCCGGCGACAATATTTACCTACCCTCACTGCACATTTTGTCGTCCATCGGTACATATTGTCAGCGGCGACACCTTGTGCCGAGACGAGCTTTTTTTTTCTCCTGCAGAAAGGACGACCAAATGTACAATCACACGTTAACACATTTTATCGTTGTTGACAATACGTACCCCTGAATAGTTGCACATTATCCCATGCACAAATACACACACTCATACCCCCTCCCCCCCCACACGAGAGAGAGAGAGAGAGAGAGAGAGAGAGAGAGAGAGAGAGAGAGAGAGAGAGAGAGAGAGAGAGAGCCTATGACAGATAAGTAAACAAGCAATAATGTAGAGAGCAATTTTTTGGTCAGAAAATTGTGTCCAGGATCGATGTACACCAGTTTGATATGAGAGGATACCGAAAATCTGAATTTATCTGATAATTCAACCTACCTTTTTTTCTCGTTTTATCTCTCTCTCTCTCTCTCTCTCTCTCTCTCTCTCTCTATATATATATATATATAAAACAGCCCCGTTACAGGCCGCAGCTACAAAATACTAGGGAATTTGTCCTGTCAAACAGACAACTGCATTTATCTCATCAGTTGCAAAGTTTGCTCCAAACAATATGTTGGTGAAACAGGAGATCTCCGCAGGAGAGTCAATAATCACCGTTCTACCATTAGGACCAAAAAACTCAATGAACCCGTTGGGGAACATTTCAACCTTGAAGGTCACAAATGGGAGGACATGACAGTAGTGGTTATTGACCATAATCCAATATGGACAGACGTTCAGAGAAAAGGCAAGAAAAAGTTCTGGATGCACAGGCTGAAGTCATTCCGCTCTGATGGTATAAACAAACTTAATGACTTCACCAGGATGAACGTGAACTAGACCCAATCCCTGATTTTAACAAACAAGTTCATGCTCTCTATATAGTGTAAACCTTACCGTTAATTCGCATTAGCAATTCTGGAACAACCTACCCAGATATTTACAGCTTACATTTTTGAGTATTTCTTTTATCCGATTTCCTAATTTATAATATATCCAAATTCATATTTTTAAAATTGCCCTTCCATATTATCTTTCTTTAATTTCTTTTTATCACGTATGGTTACCCTATTTTGAGAGAATAAGACAATGTACGATTTACTGCTTGTCGTAATTAATTAGCGATAATTAATTCGTTCAATTATGTAAATCGCACTTCACCAGAGTTCACCCGATAGACCGGACGCAATTCATAGCGCTCCGGATTTCTTTGTTCATGACTGTTTATTAACTTAAAATTAAACATGTAACACTGTAAATATTTAGTGTTTCGTAGTTTAGTAGTAGTGCTAGTTGTTTTTGTTTCTCTATTTCCTTTGTTTTTATTTAACTTTTTTCTTTGTCCTCAGGAAGGGGCAGGTCGCCCCGAAAATTTGACAATTATTATTGTTCGTGTCGTTGGTCATTTTTAGTGCTTTATGTAAATTTCCATCCGTGACCTTGTTTCTACTTAGTAGATCCGACACTTAGGATATACAGTGTTGTTGGTATTTAGTACTTTATATATATATATATATATATATATATATATATATATATATATATATATATATATATATATATATATATATATATATATATATATATATATATATATACATATACTAACAAACAGTGACAGGTCTCATGAAAACTACAAACAATACACAGATCACAGATGTAAACTGGGCATAAACACGGACGCCTGAACGCCTGAAAATTCCAGAGATGGGATCAGGTGCCTATGAGGAGTTAGCATCGCCTGTTGACCGGTCACAGTGAATGTACAATTTCCAATAGCATTAATCATTATTATGATCACCATCATTCATACATGTAGTAGTGTAACTCTAACAGTGGAGCGACAATATGTGCAGTTAGGATATGCACATAATGTCGACAGTGACAATACATGTATCATTTTGCAGCCTGCGACAATATGCTCCGATGGACGACAACCTGTGACAGGTAGGTACACATTATCACTTGCGACAATATCTACAGGACGACATTATGTACCGATACAATTGCGCTGCCTATATCAGCCTTCAAGACACGTCTGTGTGATTTACACACCAAGAAAGTAACCTAACTGGGGGCAACATGTGCAGTGAGGGTAGGCACATAATGTCACCTGCGACAATACATACATGTATAATATTTCAGCCGGCAGCAGTATGTGTCAATGGATAATAATGTTTACATTCATTTTCTTTATGAAATCAATCGGAAATTTTACAGCATTCAATACCCTATAACACACACGAAACCTTGTCGCTGTGCGGTAGAATACACAGTTGGAACTATATACATTATCAATACTCTAGGAACATCAAAATGCGCATTGTTTTAACTCAATTTAATTAAAAACAATTACAATTATAACCATTGTACATTTAAATTAATTTTGCCATTTTCTTCCATCGCAATATTCATTTGCGTTATTTAACAATTCATAATAAAGATTAATGAAGTTTGCAATTATTAAGTTAGAGAATGTTATTATAAGCATTGAGTTTTTATTTTTGGATCACCTGTCTGTGCCGACGAATTATCTTACCACGCTATACATAACATTCAAAAAATGTCTATACATTTCTCATCTAGTACATGTAAAAGAAAACATGTCAGTATAAACGTGTTTTTATTGTAAAATAGAAAGAAAAAATAATCAAATACATGTACATTACACAAATGAAATTGAGAAATGGTCAATTGTACGAATGTTTAACACCGGTATCGATGATGTCCAACCTCTAATATACATTATCAGGTTTTTATGTTTTGAGAGGTGTGTATGATCCTGCAATACCGTTATGAGACGGCATAGGTAAACAATCATCACTGCTCTTGTTGTTGTTCTTATGGTTGTTTACATCCATATATATTTTTTTTCCTTTTTTACTTAAACTGTCCGTTCTTAGGCCGTTATTCAACTTCTTCAGATCTTGTCTCAACGTTTTCTTTCTAGGGACTATTATTTCCTTTTTCATTTGTAAAGATCGTTTATAGAATATTAACTCCCCCAAGACTACATGTATAAAGGAGTTACAAGACTTCAAAGTGATTATTTTTTTGGGATAATAACACTCTACAATGGCAACGACGTTCCAGCCCTCTCAAACAATATTAATAATTAGTAGAGCCAACACGGACAATAAAGGGTGGATTAAGTACCACTCCGTAGTAAGCATCCCCTGTCGATCTTTCACATCTGTCATATGCTCGTTGTCATTATCGAGCACAGAATACTCCGCTGACACTTCAGTGTGAAAATAATGGCCTAAAAATATGTATGAAGGACTTCAGTCACCATTCGACATAACGATATATTATATTTTCAAAAAAGGTCATTGTACCGACCACAGAATTTTCAAAATGTTGACTTTAAACGAGATTGCTTATATCCCTGTATTATCAACTTATTTGTCATACATATAGGATGCCTCATTTTAGAAATTGTTCAAACGTAGAACATGCTCTTGCGTATCGATTCAACTTTGAGGCATTAACTCCATATGCAGGTGCTAATGGCATATTACTACATAAATAAGGGAAAAGAAAACTCAACAGATATCTTTGGTAGTATAAAAAAACATATCTGCAGATAATTATCTTAGATATGATATCAAATAAGACACATTACATAAAATGATTTACTAGTGCTGAAGTAATAATAACTTTAATACGTTAAATTACTTTAGTCATAATGAACTTTGATTTTAAAACAGTAATAGCGTTGATACATTTATTTACTATAATGGTAACTTTAATACTTTGATTTATTTTAGTGATAAATTTGACTATAATTATCATTTTGTCACTATTATGATTACTTTGAAACTTAAGTGATAACTCTGAAAACTTTCATTTACAAGAGTTAATTATAAAAAAGTGTTGTTACTATAGTATACCATATCATAGTTAACTAAGCTTCAATTTAAATTAAGTATTTTTTGTTAAGCTAAGAAGAAGAAGAATAGTTTCTGATGGCAGAAGATATCTTTCTTTTTCAGCAAGAAAATAAAATTTTAAAATGTAAGATTGGTATTGCACTAAATAGCATTTCATTGTTTTTCTTGGTCACTGTATACAAAACCATCTTATCTGTGCAAAACTATTGATATATTCATAGAGCATTGACCAAGTATTCTGAAAACTGGTTTCAAGTAATGCTGATCAAATATAAGAAATATACGGTTTGCTTGCTTCTAATTCTGAAAGCTCGCTGTTTTTTTTTTTTTTTTTTTTTTTTTTTTTTTTTTTTTTTGCTTGCTAAATGAAGATTGTTTGTGTTAAAATATATAATGATTATAAACACCGATTTTTGTTTTTCTGATGCTGAGTAATTTAGCAAAAATTTGTCCATTTTGTTTAAAATTGCAAAAATTCCGAAAGTGATTTTTTTTTATTGTTCATTAAAATAAAGAAAACTAGCCAAACACATTTTCGCTTAATATTTAAGAGAGAGTAAAATAAAAAAAAAGTATTGCTGTATTAACCAACATTGCAGTAACATTTCAATTAGGATGATTTGTCAATTTTTGCAGAATAACTCTATTTTGAAAATCTTCTTTGAAATTAGATATAAAACTTTGCGCAGTCGGTGAATAAATTAGAATTTATAATATATAAATTGACTTAAACGATTGAGTTCAAACTTGTAGGAACCAAAAAGTTCTAAATGCAACTATCATGGTACCTTTGAATGTGGAAGTTGTAATTGTGATTCCGGTTGGATTGGGGACAGTTGTGAATGTGATAACAGGGGGACTGAGGATGAGAAATGTGGAACAGAAAAGGGGTAACGACTAGGAATTGCATGATCATGTGATCTTAGAGATCAACCCCGTGTTTAACCGTAGTCACTCTCCTCTCTCCTTTCTAACATTTACCTGTGCTTATTTTATTCGCACTTCCTAAATATTATGTTTTGAAGCACGAGAAAAATGTGTTCTCAGTACTGAAGAAAGTTTCCTTTATAGGGCCTTAAAGTGCATACTTACACATGTACTAACAATATTTCGATACTTTTGTTCATGAAAAATAAAAACAAATCAATTACTGCTTAATGTAAGAGGAATACATAAAATTACATTTTGCAAATAAATGCAATGCTTTTGTCTTGCATAAAAAAATTGCTTAAAATATTGTTCAATTGTTTTATATGAGGTAACGAAGCGTGATCGATCTCAATATATAAATATACAAAAAGGTAACTGTAAATATATCATTAAACATAGACTCCTAGAAATTCCAGAGATCGCATCAGGTGCCTATATGAAGTAAGCATCCCCGTCGATCGGTCACGACCGCCGTGAGTCCTATGTATAGATCAGGTAGACGGTATAATACGCAGTCATATTAAGCAAAAAAGCAAAGGCCTTACAATTGGTATGAAATATGTCATGATCAGTTTATGCCATATATACATTAGCTAATGGTAAATGAAGGAGGTTTGTTTCAGGATTTGTTATAAAGGAAATGAAGGCAATAAAGGTCAAGTGTATTGATGTGTATATCAGCTTTTTTATGTGATGCAGAAATTAAATTTATACACAGGGGTTTAATGTTCATTACATGTGTACATGCATAAGGGGATTAAAAATAAAATAGCAAAATTTTGGAGCATGTGATTAAATATCAATAATATTACGTTTGAATTATAATGCTAGGTCACATGCAGCTTATAAGTTTAACATGTTAGAATAATGATATGACAATGTGTCATTCTGTCAAATTTCACCTTGATCCAATAATCAATCATAAATGTGTGCCCATTTTGTGCTTTATGGCTATTATATAAATCTATAAAGAAAATCGCAAAGAGCTACAAATGAAAAATTTTGTATTTGTTTGTTGTGTAATATAATTAAATACCTTACGAAGACCGAACAGTTTATTTACCCTAACAAAAAAAATACTATAATTAACTATAGTTTACTATAGTTAACTATAGTGAAAACTTTGACACTATGAAAACTTTGATTTACTATAGTGATAACTTTGACACTTTGATTCACTATAGTGATAACTATGAAAACTTTTATTTACCATAGTGATCACTATGAAAACTTTGATTTACTCTAGTGATCACTATAAGAACTTTGATTTACTATGGTAAAAACGTTTATTTACTATATTGATCACTTTCAAAACTTTTATTTACTATAGTGATAACTATGAAAACTTTGATTTACTATTAGTGATCACTTTGATACTTTGATTTACTATAGTTAACGATAGTTAACTATAGTAAACTATAGTTAACTATAGTATTTTTTGTTAAAGTATTCCGATTCCTTAAATACAGTTTTTGTTATATTTAAAAAGAATTTGCAATGGTGCCGGACAATGTACATGCCGGAAGTGTGAATGTTTCAAAGGCTACAGTGGAGAGAAATGTGAATGTAATGACGAGAATTGTAGGACCTACAACAAACTTCTCTGTGGTGGTATGTTCGGTTGCTTGTTTAATTCATTTTATCAACGTAGATCAGCAATTAATAATATTAATAAAAACAATTAATAGCTCTGCTATCCTCAGATAAGAATTGCTTACTAGAATCAAAAATTTCAAATTGAAGATAAACAGATTAGTTTAAGTAGATTTTTTGAAAGTACGCTTAATTTTCGATATCTTATCTATTAGGTCCTGAACGGGGACGATGTGCATGTGGAGCTTGCGTTTGTAATGCTAATTATTCAGGGGAAGCTTGTGATTGTCTTCAATCAGAGGAACCATGTAAGAGCAACAATGGTGTGAGTATTTTTATGTATTTTAAGCAGCCTTAATTAAAGGATCAGATTACCTGTATTCAGTAAAAATATAAAGTTGTTGTTCATAAAAAGCGACTTAAAATTTTGAACAGTTGTAATTACATCATCTAATGCACCACAAGAATAGAAATTCAGCAACGTTTTTCAAAGACCTGAGCTATTTCTTGAATAATTAGAAAAGCTAAAATCTTAAGAAAATGACGAAAAGGATCAATCGCCAGTGAACTGCATGTTGTTGAACCTAAAGTGTATGCTTTCGACTAAAGTATTCAAGTTCCAAAAAGAGTCTCGCATCTAGAAGCACTAAAGAAATATCACATTCTGCATAATATTCGATTTTTGTGCTTTAATATTTTAAAGTTAAAGGAGGCATTCACTTTAATGATTTTTTAAATTTTGAATACGAATCAAAAAGTATCCTCTTGGATTTTTATTTTAACGTACCAATGATTGTTTTAATACTCAAGCCATATATGTCAGTTACACTGTAGTATTAAAGTATGTCACTTCTGACATTGGTTATTTCAAGGATTTTTTTTTAAGTTTATTTTAAGTATCTACCCACACAGTATAACTCAAAATTGAAAAGAAAACTGATTGAAGGTCAGTGTGCCTATCATTGAGCAACTGTACAGTAAACTTGACCTTTCTGTACTCAATTTGCATCTTTTTATGAATCACTTTAATCTCATTTATATTTTATCAGATGTAATTATGACAATAAATATAATCTTTAAGTAAAAATCTTAAATAAAAGGAAAGGTATCTAATCAATATGAGTTGATTAATGTATAACCATTTTGCACAAATGAAATATGATATTTGGGTAAGAAAATCTAAACACTTAATATTGTATATTTTTTAATTAAACATTATGAATTCTTGTTCATGGAAATCTAAAAATATGTACATGCACATGTATATTTATTTAAAAAGTACATCTGCAGAAAGAGCAGAATAATTCTGTTACTAAGAATTTTTTTTTGAAAAGATGTCAAAATCCATATATTTTGCATATAGTTAGATATGTCTCTGATATTAAAAAAAATCAAAGAATTGAGATTTCAGTTACAACATCTTTATTAATATTAAGATTTATTAATTTTTTACATGGTCCCAGACGATATGCTCCGGAAATGGCTTTTGTGAATGTGGACACTGCATATGTAATACAGGCTTTCGAGGGAAGCTGTGTAACAGTTGTACGGTAAGGTTATAAATTAACAGAAAATGATGCATGTTTAATTTACACCCTATTTCATTCAGACAATGTAATTCATGAATGAGATATATTTATGAACAAGAAATATTTGGGCCCTCTTCATTAACTTTTTCGATGCACTCTTTTCATTTGAAAACTAAATTGTTTCCTTCATGTAAATAAATATATATATAAAATGAATAAAATAAATAGATAAAAAAGTCTTATTATTAATGAATTAAGAAAGAAAAAGAACTTTAAAAAAATTTAATTTTTCTAAGTAGACTGTATTATTCCGTGTAAATTTTATTTGGATTTTCAGTGAGTTTGTTTAAAAATACATGAAATATGGAGATAACGAACAGTTTTCAAGCTCATTGTCCATTTTAACCATACAAATCGGGAGCAGAGCAAACACGGACCTCCAAAAACATCAGAGATGCTATGGAGGAGTAAGTATCCCCTTCCTTTTTACAATCTAATTAATGTGTGTTCTCAACGTTTGATCTCTAGCATTGCCCAGGTATCTGTAGCAACAATAAAGACTGCGCTGAATGTATGGCCTTCAATCAGGGTCTTTACAACTCAACCGTCTGCAAACAACGTTGTTATAATGTCGAAACTGCATCATTCCTCCAACCACGAAGTACGTATAAGGTCAATTACATGACTACCACACTGGAAATATTATATGCCTCGAGGATGACATGTATATGTTTTTGTATCTATTTAAACATTTAAGTTTTAAATTTGTTCTCTGTTTAAAACAAAACAATCTATAGTAGCAAAACATGGAATATTGCAAAACATGGATCATAGTAAAACATAGAATATAGCAAAACCTGGAATATAACACACTACATATATGTTAGTAACATTTCAGCCACAGAAAACCAAAATGATTTAGTGACAATAAAATCCTGCATCATTGAAGACGCATTCGGATGTTTTATAAATTTCAATGTCTGTGAGTTGTTGTATTTTAATATTCAAGAAATTTTTCGATAAAAATAAAAATATTTTTATTAGCTATCTGCTATAACTTAATGTTACCGTGAAATTTGTTTGGGCTTAATATAACTTCTGAAGGTTAAAAAATGTTATTGTTATTTAAAGATGATAGCGATGAAGGACGGAAAGTGGTAGTGAAAGAAACTAAAAGCAAGTACCTATATATATATATATATATATATATATATATATATATATATATATATATATATATATATATATATATATATATATATATATATATATATATACGTAACATATGTTATTTATTATTAAAAAGATACAGTTTTACAACATATTCTAACAGATATATCAGCATTAATAAAAATCCTACTGGTTACTTTAATTGCTAGAATTAAATGAGGCTTACAAGGTTACTCGTACGGCGTCCTTCCCAGTGATGAAAATTGAAAAAAAAAATTATTCCATCTGAAAATTTTAGTAGAGCTTAAGTCCTGAAGAGTACAATTAATTGAAATATTCATTAAAATCTGTTAACAACTTTTGACATCTTGTTTTCAGAGCACAATATTTATTATTACCCTCTTACAAATTTAATCGTAAAGAAAAGAATGTTGATCGCTTATCTCTAGCTGCTTGTTTTTAGGGTGTCCAGCTGGTCCACCGAACCTGTTGTTAGTAGGACTAAGCATCGCAGGAACTATTCTACTGATTGGTCTGATTTTGTTAATTATTTGGAAGTTGCTGACATTGTTGTACGACCATGTTGAATTCTCAAAGTTTGAAACAGAAATCATGAATCCAGCTTGGGAAAAGGTAAGCAAAACACATATATTTATCTGCAATTTTGTATGTTAAATATAATTGATATATGAACAAAGAGTTATAATCTTTCTTATATCTATGATTTTGATTTATTCCTAGATAATTTAATTCTGGTTGTAAAGCGACATTTGATTGGATAAAAAAATTACTTATATCGTATAGACTGTGTTGCCTACGTCACAATGATTTGCGTCTAAAACGTATCGATCCAACTGATGCTGATTTCGCGGATTATAAAGCGTAAACTGTCCCATTCCGTTTATACCGTATAAATTGGGTAGCTATTTAAATTATTCCTTAAATGAATTTGTTGACTGTTTTAATCAAGTAGAGCATGCCGTTTTTCTTGCATATTTTCTATTTATCAATACAAAATCTACGGAAGCCTATTTAGGACCTATCAAAAAATATTTTCGAATTCGATATAACGAATTGTAGAATTTTTAACAAATTTGTTGAATTCTTTATAACGAGTTCAAAAATTTGTTATAACGAATAAAATTCGTTTAAACGAATTCTACAATTTGTTATAACAAATTTAATTCGTTATATCGAATTCAAAATTTGTAATAACGAATTAAATTCCTTAGATCAATATCAACAATCAGGTCCTTTAGAAAAATATATATGAATTCGATATAACGATTTGTCGAATTCGTTTTAACGAACTTGATTCGTTATTACAAGTTTCAGAATTCGTTATAACGAATTTAATTCGTTATAACTAAATTTTGAATTCGTTATAGCGAATTCAACAAATTTGTTATAACAGATTGAATTCATTATAACGAATTGAAAGAAACTGTTATAACGAATTTATCTCTATTGTGGAATTTGTAGTTTGCAATTAATGGAAGTTTGCTTAAAATTTTATTCACATTACAGTCTGAAAATCCTATCTATAAAGAATGTGTGACTAAAATAGATAACCCAATGTGTGACTCCGGGTTTAATCCTGATGAAAATGATGAAAAGATACTTATACATGAAATGGAAGTGGATACGGCCTCAAGCGAGACACAGTGCCCGGAAAAGACAGTGGACACTAGCGATGAATGAATTTATACAGTATATATATATTATACTTAAAAATCATTTAAACAGATAAAATTTATATGCCTAAGGTTACCTGTATAGAAACACTGATATCAGAAGTTTTGTTCTAAGATTTAATCCGAGACTTTTCACCTTGATATATTCAAAATTTGGCTTTATTTGCAACCTGCTTTAATCAATTAATTTCACTATGGAGAAAAGGTACATCTATGAGAATAACAAGGATAAACTAATATATTTTGAAAAAAAAATTATATCATTAGAAATGGCTATCTACAATATCTAAAATGAGTTGTATCCATCTCATTGGCATAGTCCTGTTGTTTTCTATCTTATTCTTGTCTTCATTTATTCGATTGAACTTCATTTCTATGCTTAAAAGTATGAAAATAAACCATTTTTTTCCTTAACGGATATTTGTTGTACTTGGGAAACACTGGAAATTAAATTGAAAATTATTCTTTGATATGTAAACTTGTTTGTTTATTGTAGATATGAACGCCTAGTGGCAGTCAGATTAAAGTTATTTTAGTCTTTACAACCGTATGATTTGTTACACATTCTTTCCAAGTGATTCAACTCAAAGCAAAACTATGTCTATTTAAGAAATGCAGAATAATTGAAGGCAGTAACGATAACTACTGTTCAATTGCATGAAATTCCAAGTGTGCATAAATGTACTGATTCTAATGTTTTTGAAGAAGTACACGTGTATTTGTAAATTCCCGAAACCAGCGCCCTCGAATGCACTCTAACCCAAACATCAACATTTTTTTTATGTCTCCCTAATCAGCAATCCGTAATAATAATGTGTAATATGAGTTCTTGAGACTTTTTACATTTTACATGTATGTAGTGTTAAGAACGAAAAATATCGCTTGTGATTAAAAATATTATACATAAGGTATATTGAACTATGAGCAGGTATGGTATCAAAAGAAAGACAATTTCCAATATTTAAATGCAACAACATACCATTATCAAATATGTACATATGGTGTTAATATCTCCCAGCTAATTCGATATGTTTCCCATTTTCTGCTTACATTTCTAAAAAAAACCAGGGAACTGACTAATAAGAAATATAACAGGGACAGAGGTATCCACAATCTCGTTCAAGTCAACTTTTCGCAACAGAGCAGTCATTGTTATTTGCGAAATACTAGTATTGCCTTTATGATATGAAGATTTCAGAATTCCATTTTTATCAAAGAAACATTTTTTACGTCTACAAGCTTGGTGTTATGCCGGGGTTCTACAGTACCGGTGTACTTATAGATGAAGGTTGAAAACAAAATTAAATACTTAGAATTGTAAATAATAAATGTCACTCATCAACAATAAAACATGTGTTTCAATAATGTATCAGCTTGAAATGGTTTTGTTTACTCACTAAATCTTGAAATACACATGAAAACTATACCACCGGTAAGTACTAGTGTCAAGGGACGTTACTCTGATACCGGTGTATATGTATGGTGCGCTACCACCATTACAATTAATCAAGATTTTCCCATAGTCTACATACACATCATCCTCATTTCCAATTTCCAAATGTTAAATTTCACCATAATCAATACAAATTGGACCCCTTTTCCCTTTTGGATATACTTTTTTAATGTTACTGATGGATTTTCATTTAGGATTTGCTCCAAAATCTTTTTTAACTTTGAGGTAAAGCTGTTGGTGCTGAATTTTCATTTGCTGCTTGACACTCCTTTAAAAGTAGCATTATATGCCTTTTGAATTTTCAGATTTTGTCTATTGTATTTCATTTAAATTCTTTTGACTTTTTAAGCTACCCTTAAGACAGAAGATAATTCCTTTTTTATCAGATAAAATATTATGAAAAAATAATTGGAAGAAAAGCCAAGTCAAAAAATCTTTATGCTTATTTACAGTCATATAAAAATACATATATTTGACTCTTTCATTGAGTTCAATAATTCTTGCTGAAACTGTGTTCCAAATATAATTTTTCACAGCAGTCACATGATTTATGACCTCATTCCTGATGTAAACAATTTTGGCTTTCCAGAAAGCCTGAAATGTCATCTCTTTGGCTTCATTAATGTCACAGAATAAACAGTGGAATGTAATATTATTTTCTCAGCTATTATAGGCAGTAATATCGCTTTTGAAAAAAAAAATCGACGATTTATCTGAACAATCTTTGACAAGGGGAAAAACTCAACATTTTCATATCTTGGAAGGAGGGATTACAACTTTTCCGACAAACATATTTTATATTATAATACATTATCATGGGATGATTTGACGTACCATACTGCAACAAAAGGTGGAAGAGGGGTCAAGGGTGCGCCTTTTCAATGTGTGGGGAAAAAAGTGGAAGGGGCGGCCCTCCTGGTGCTACTTGCCTGTATTATTTTACCTGTTGTAAATACGCTTTATTCATTTTAAATGTATTTTGTATAATGTCTGTAAAAAGATTCTAACCACTGAGAAATATTCGTAAGAGTTATTTAAAGTCATATATTGCGTATTTTTTTTTATATAAGTTCAGACTACCTAAATTAAAAAGATCTTTCTAATTGTTTTATTTATTTTATATAAAAATAGGACTTTCCTATAAATTACACAATTTAAATCAATCACGTTTCAAAGATATTAGAAATTTTAAACAATAACCGATTTACTTACCGATTCAGATTTTAATTTACCGACACTGTTAAATTTTTTTTAATCAGTCGAACTATGGAAACATGAGGTTATTCAAGTTCAAAATCGGTGAAAAATTTAATTTCAACGTAAATAACATATTTCATGTTTAGCTACACTCAATCTCGTATTTTTTATTTTTTAGCTCAGATACGCTATATATAGCTTTAACAATTATTCCGAAAGAAGATGGATAAAAAGTTAGCGTTCCTTTTGACTTTAGTTCTTAGCCGCCTACTACGACAGCAAAGAAGTTTTAAAGCGCCAACTTAAATTAATCTGAACCTCAATTAATTACAAAGACTTTCCTTATTTTCCTTAATCGTATCCTCTGAAGTGACTTGGCCATCGAGCCACTGGGATTTGATTGATTATCGAGCCACTGGGAATATCAAGGGAAAAATTGAGACACTCCTGCATCATGCCCTTCTGCTGCCCATGTAGATTCATGTTCTAGCGCTATATTATGTATAATATAAGTACATGTACATTTACACGCTCCTGGGAAACAAAAATCATGCATAGAAAGGTACTTTTATGCATAGAAAGGTACTGATGTACTTTTACGTTAAGATGGACCATTTTGTTTAATAATAATAATTAATAAGCCAGACTTTGGTCAATTTTGTTTACATCGCTATTATAATATTTAGAAATCGTGTCATCGTCAATTCCTTTGCCAGACCACCGGCAGCTTATCAATGGCAGCTTACACTAGGACTTCACTTCCGGCTTCAAACTTAATGTGTCATCTCCCGAGGAAGATGACAATAAACCAGAGGACAACAGATATGCCAATCTACGGAAGCCCAATAGTGCAAACCAAAAAAATAAGAAAAAAAAAAAAAACGGAATTATTACATAAAGAAAACGAAATTATTAAATAAAAAACGGAATTATTAAATAAAGAAAACGAAATTACTAAATAAAGAAACAAACGAAATTATTAAATAAAGAAAACGAAATTATTAAGTAAAGAGAACGAAATTATTAAATAAAGAAAACGAAATTATTTAATAAAGAAAACGAAATTAATAAATAAAAAACAAACGAAATTATTAAATAAAAAAAACGAAAATATTAAGTAAAGAAAACGAAATTGTTAAATAAAGAAAACGAAATTATTAAATAAAGAAAACGAAATTATTAAATAAAAAACTGAAACTGAAATACGGAATTTATAGATGTGCATGGTAAGGGCCTGAACCCATGAATCATTCCATAAAGCGCACGTGTTATAAAGCATCACTTAGTAATTCTATAGACCTGATTTTGTTTCGACATTGAAACAAGAGTGGGGGAATTGAAAAAAAAACTTTGATAAATGTCACAAACGTAGAAAAACATTATGTGCTTACAGCCTATAATTCGCATTTGTAAAGTAAATGATTATTAACTGTTCAATTTTGTTTACGGGAATTTGATGCTGTGTCGCATCCCCACAACGTCAAAGTTTGAGCCTGTAAGCCTGGACGTAGCGAGGATGGCTGTTTCTGCTTACATAAAACTAATGACATTCCAAAAGAGCTCATGAATCGCTGAAAGGTCAAGGCCTTGCGTATCGTATCGCTGAATTCCCCCCGAACTAAACCTAGTGCCCTTTCTGTGTACCCATAAATCTTAGGTTGTTGAAACAATAAAGAGAATGATTTGAATACTTGTTGGATTTGTTATGCAAGTGTGTGCATTGTTTGTTCACAACTATCACTGACTTATAAATACAGATTAAGAATTTGTCATTTAGAATATGTGAGAACAAATAGTTAGTGCAGCACTTCTCATTATGCTTTGATAAATGACCAAGAAATCACAGGCGCTCCCCATGTAATTCTGTAAATGACGAATGATAAGTATATATATATATATATATATATATATATATATATATATATATATATATATATATATATATATATATATATATATATATATATATATATATATATATATATATATATATATATATATATATAGGTCTACCCCTCAATACTATAAAATCAACCTTGTTGATTTTATAGTATTGAGGGGTAGACCTATATATATATATATATATATATATATATATATATATATATATATATATATATATATATATACTTATCATTCGTCATTTACAGAATTACATGGGGAGCGCCTGTGTAAGAAATTAGAGGTGTTTTGCTTAATTTTTAATAAAGTAAGCAATCATTAAAATTTACTCATTGTAACAACTTTGTCTTGTTTAATTTTTGCACTTGCTCTCTTTAAACAATAATTTATAATGGGTAACGTATCATTTTACAGCATTTTTTGTACTGTGCACGTGCTATAATTGAAAAAAAAGATGTATAGCCATGGGAATTTCCTAAATGTTATAAGGTTCAGCAGTTGTAAACAACGGAATCTTAACAGACATGTATATTTTAAATATTTGTGCAATTTATTAGCATAATCTCTTTGATGTTTCATGTCCAGATTCATTGTTTGCTAATAATTAGACCTTCTAAGTTGAGGGTTTAAGAAAGCTAATACTAACGTAAACTTGTCATCACTGGCCAATTCATCAGACTAGTCAAATTAAGTTCACATTAATCATGTTAATGTAAGATAAAAACATAGATCTAAGCATATTGGATAACCAAAGGTAAAATTCTCCCCTATTCATCTATTATGATTGTCTACTCCAACTGGTTATGTTATCGATACGGGAATAGCTGAGTGTAAATGCAAATACATACGTATCACACTTGTTTTAATGTCGAAACAAAATCAGGTCATAGAACACGTGTGCTTTATGGAATGATTCATGGGTTCAGGCCCTTACCATGCACATTGATAAATTCCGTATTTTAGTTTCAGTTTTTTATTTAATAATTTCGTTTTCTTTATTTAATAATTTCGTTTTCTTAATTTAATAATTTCGTTTTCTTTATTTAATAATTTCGTTTGCTTTTTATTTAATAATTTCGTTTTCTTTATTTAATAAATTTCGTTTTTCTTTATTTAATAATAATTTCGTTTTCTTTATTTAATAATTTCGTTTGTTTTTTATTTATTTTTGGTTTACACTATTGGGCTTCCGTACCAATCAGTTGTAAAATACATCTATAAATTCACAGTTTGTGACTTTTAACATTATAGGGTATGAAGACTGTTACAGGTAAAGTTTAAAAAATGTGACCATTTAATGTTGCTTCTGATAACTAACCAGACTTTGCAACATTTTAAGATCTAAAGGGATAGTAATGACAACAAGGCATCACCAATATTTTTCTAAAAATATCTGGCCGCTAGGTGTCGCCAACAGCGAGCAAATTTATAAATAAAGGGATACCCCGGTACCGCAGAACCACCGGTATCGTAGGAATGTAGTATATATGTTTCCAAGAAACCTTGAAAAGTCATATGTCTGGGTGCTGTTGATTTTTGAAAAAAAGGTGTGTGATTTCAATTTTTTTTCTTAAAGTTGTACTTTTATTTGTAGCTGCAATTAAAACGCCTAAAGTTTGTCCCTCACGAAAATTTATCATCATTCTTACCACGTGATTTAAACAAAATGATATAAAAGAATTAATTACAGAAACTCTTAAACAGTCACCATATCCCTCGCGTAATGTGTCCACAAATGGTTAACTTTGCAGGATGCCTCCAAATGAAATCAACTGTGATCGTCCTAAGCCGATCACAACAATACCAAGGTATTAAACATTTTTACTATCTCCCTTTCTCTCTCCAAAATCATTTTCATTTTTTCAGGAGATGACATTAATATTACGATAACAAAAGTATGGGGAGGGGCACTTGTCCTCTCTCCCATATACCTCTCTGTCCCAATACAAGGCATATTGTGAATGCCATTGTATATGTCCTTAACAGAAAAGTAAAATTACAACCAAAAAAGGTTTTATTACATTAATGATTTTCCATAGGGAATCAAGGTGAAAGTTTTTTTCCAAAGTAAATTAGTGGCAGCTACCCTACTGAGAATCAAATTTTCTTCAACTAGAATTTAATTGCTATTTTTTTTTTCAAAAATTAATTCATATTTTTTGGATTTTTTTATATGGATTAGAATTTAACTTGTATATCCACATATTATTTCTCTCTTTATCATTATTAATTCAGAACTTTAGAGATATTTTACAATTCTGGCATGTTTGTGAGGTCAATACCTGATTTTATCGCACCAACCAAGAACACTACATCGAAGCTAAGGCGAAGCATTCTACAATTGCTTTGTTTTTTTAAGTACATGTAATATAAAGTAAACACAGTTTATCCAGATATAAATTTCAATTATCTCATTCTACTTTCATTTAAACTGCGAATTTGTCATAACAATATTGATCTCTAAGTTATCTAAAAATCCAGTTTTATCTAAATAATCGAATGATTTTTGATATTCTCCTCTCTGTATGAAGACCTACATCATGGTTACTCATGCAGACCGCCGTCGTTAAGTATGTTGCTCTATTTTTGGAAACACGGGATTTGCAATATTATTTAATGCACACAACCTGAATGTAACTTTTAATAATGAGTCATGCATTTTCTTTCAACCAAGAGGATTGTGTAAATAGCCCATGGAAATAATTACGTTTCTCAAAAACTCCACAAAAAATGAATACATTTTATAGTAAAGATCAAGATATCATACCAAAGTAAATTATCAAAAAAAAAAAAAAAAAAAAAAAAAAAAAAAAATCACAAACAAGCAAACAGTATTGTTTTGTATTATACAAGTACTTGAAACATGTTCTATACTAGATAAGGAGGCAGTAGTTAGGTAAATGTATTTCTAGTAGGACTTGTCGCCTGATAAGGTTGCTGCTCACGCAAGATTGAAATTGGCTTTCCTTTTTTGTTTAATTCATATTAACATACTCTTATCTAATGTGGATTAGAAATACATCGATGAAATATTTTTACAACAGACAGCAAACGACATTTTTAAGTGCTTGTGAAAATAAACTTCCTTTCAAGGAAGTTCACTAGGAAAGATGTTCAATATAATGAAATTTAACGTGCCCAGGAAGTTATAGAGGTGAAAGATATGAAGTATAAAACTAAAACAGAGATGCTTACAGAACTTAAAAGAATTGGGATTTTTCTGCTGGTTTCGTGTGAGTATATTTTTTTGTCTTTCTATAAGTAATATTGATTTTGAAATTTTGTTTCAAATATAAATTGTTTAATCTGTTTCACCAATACACTGTCTGCTGGGGACATATATTTCTACATCTTCATTGTGATACTTGTTATCAGTATGAAATTAATGCAACTGCACCTGTATATTTTTTACGAGAACGTGTATTTTGCTATACAGGAACCACTTACCCTTATTCTGTTACATTTATTAATATAAGTGTAAGAAAAATCAGAACTCAACAAGCATAACCAGTATTGCAAGCATTCAATCAGCATTATAAGCATTAGTTCATCCTTAATAATATCAATGCTGTTTTTGAAGCATCATTACATCCGGAATACATGTATTTACAAACTGAACATTATATGCATATTAGTTCAAAACCAATAGTTAATGAGAGAGTCTCACCTCAAAGTCACAATACCGTGTATACTGTATGACAAAGAACTTCAATAAGAAATCATTGACATAATATATGAAGGGCACATATCCAGGCCAAACTTTAAATAATTTTTTCTTGTCAAAGAGTATCTCTGTTGATATATTTTTTTTTATTGGTTTTGATTTAGAAAAATTCCTGGATTTATCCTAGTACTAGTAGAAGCTGGGAGTAAAAACTGTATAAATAGTTCTGTTCACATATTTAACACGTGTTTTCGAATCCCCCCCCCCCCAAAGTTGGCAATAAAACCATAAATTACCTCTTAATATTGTCTTTATAGACGCTAATAAAGTAATAATCACTTTTTATGTCAAGTCAGGTATATAGCATGATGTTTAAAAACGTGTCTGTGTGTGTGATACATTAAATGGATTCCCTTTAATCAGACACACAATGATTTATCGAATGAAAGTGGAGACACCGAACATTAATCATGATCATAGTTTTATGAAATAATATACATTATGAGCAGAGCAAACACGGATCTCTCAAATATCAGAGGTTGGATCAGGTGCCATTAAGGAATAAGCATCTCTTTCCGATAGGTCACACCCGCCGTGTGAAGCTTGTCATGTTCAGATAAAAACTAGGATACAGTTTCACACCTGTCAATTTTTCTCAACTAACTAATGATCAATTATCTGTTTCCTTGATGTCCTTGTGAAAACACCAACGATTCCTCTGATTAAAGCTGATTCGACTTAAGCATATACAGTAAAACTCGCCTATAATGAATTGACGCTAACAGCGAAGTGTTTTTAATTCCCCACTGCTTTAGTTTTTTGATTTATTTTTTATTTTTTGAACCTAACGGATTTAGCGATTTATGTTTATGACAAAACAAACTCTTGCACTTCGTTATAAGCGTGTTTTACTGTAGATAACATATATTTTTGCAATGCCCATACATCAAGTATACAGGCCTTATATATTTTTTTATAATGTGAGAACATGCCTAAGTGGGAATTCTATATTAATTTCTCATGTTTTGTAAATCTTTAATTTCCTTTAATTGTAAGTTCAGTTTGGATATAAAATTAAGGGTATATCAAAAAATATTTTACAAAAATATTATACATAGAAAGATTGATATAGTTGAAAAAAATTTTCCTTTAAAAATTTCATATTATAAATAAAACAAAGATGACTTGTTTACTGAAACAACGAGTCACTGTTTTCAATTTACCGGGAAATGAATTGCTTCCTGTTTGGATATTTTTAAGTATTTTCTATAAGATAATGAATAAACATGAGGATTTATGTTTGATAAATGGCATAAAATGCTTTGTTTGTAATAAAATAATTGTTTCATACATATTTATTTTTAAAAGTATAAGATGTATTATATCCAATCCTGTTAACATGATTTTTTTATTATATATTAATTCCTCATTTAGCAACAATAGTTTGTGGTCAAATCTGTTCCGGAACGAGATGTGGTCAATGTTTGATTGTCAATGGGTGTGCCTGGTGTAAGGATCCAGTATGTATTATGTATTTTAGCAAATATTAAAAAAAGAAGAAGGAAAAAAAAAAAACCGAACATGTCTACATGCAATTGCAATTATATATTCAAACAAGCTTCTGAGTGAAGATAACGAACAGTGATAAATCTCAGAAATCCAGTAAACAAAAATGGATCGTGAACAGAACAAAATTATTGACCTTTGGAAACACCATAGGTGGGATCAGGTGCCCAGAACTAGTAACCATCCCCTGTGGCCGGTCACAACCGCCGTAAGCCCTGTGTTGAACAGGTATTCCCTAGTCAAACGCAGCATAAAAATGGCGCAACAATTGGTATGTGACAACATGCCAGTCAAAAATATGACCTAACGATAGTTGTATTTTAGGTTGTATTTACAAACAACCCTAACAAAAAATACTATAGTTAACTATAGTTTACTATAGTTAACTATAGTGATAACTTTGACACTATGAAAACTTTGATTTACTAAAGTGATAACTTTGGCACTTTGATTTACTATAGTGATAACTTTGACACTTTGATTTAATAAAGTGATAACTATGAAAACTTTGATTTACTATAGTGATCACTTTGAAAACTTTGATTTACTATGGTGAAAACTTTGATTTACTATAGTGATAACTTTCAATTGAAAACTTTGATTTACTATAGTGATAACTTTGAAAACTTTGATTTACTATAGTGATCACTTTGACACTATAGTGATCACTTTGAAAACTTTGATTTACTATAGTGATCACTTTGACACTTTGATTTACTATAGTTAACTATAGTTAACTATAGTAAACTATAGTTAACCATAGTATTTTTTGTTAGGGGAAGGTCATTATAAGATCTCTGAATCATCCCGTGTCACTTTAGGCGTTTGTACGATAAAAAAACCTTTACTGCTATGGCATAGGTCAAAATTTTAAGCACTTCAACGAAATCAGGTGAAGTATAGGAGATACATTTTGTAGCATTTAACTGATCTGTATTTATCATAGAGTTTCTCCGTCGTCTTATTCTTGTCGTTGTATGGTCTTGCGTTATACATGTACATTTCAATTAATCAATAAAATGTAAATTATAGACAATAAATCATTTTGACATTGCTATTTGGAAAGTATTGCAAATCATGGTAAATCATATGAAAAAAAAGGTAAATCATAAGAAAACGCTGTAAAGCCATTTGCATGCAAAAGCAATCGAGATTGAAATCATGTCAATATCAAGGTATCTGACGAAACAATGTGCATGGTATTCACGCATTGTACGCTAGATCCCTCTTCCCTTCCCGAACAAAATGTTTGATTCATTGATTGTAATCTGTTTAACACCCCAATTGAGAATCTCTAACTCATATAGAGACTCCACCTGCTTTCGGTGAAGTCCCACACATTTTGACCTATGCATGGCCCTCTTGCAGTAGTGAGGTATCGCTCACCGTGACACGGGATCTCGGTTTTTATCGAGACTCGAACCCAGACCTTTCAATCAGAAAGCAAGTGCCCCACACTAGGCTACCGTGACAATTCCCCGAGAAATATATGAAATATATTTAAGATTTATCTTATAATTTTATATTATATTCTGTGATTAAATATTTCACTATATTTTTAAGGATTATGCCTTCAGTCGGTGTGCATCAGAGAGCCAGCTGTCACGTGATGGTTGTAATCAAATCGTCAGAAGAAAGGAGCACAGTGTACAGATTCTGCAGGTCAGATCACTTTAAGCATTCTACAATATGATGAGGTGCCTTTGAAAGTATATGTATTTCAGGATCAGGTTAAAAAAAAGGATGCTAAATATTTTGGCACCAGATAAGGGGTTTTTGCCTTGCTTCTAAATTGTAAAATTCTCTATGCAACCCCGTGTTTATGTTGCATCCTATTTAGCAAATGTTATTAGAGTTCAATTGAACAATAAAACAACATAGATTCCAATATAATTTCAGCGAAATCATGCGATATTTCTAAATGTTTCCATCCTAAACACCTCTATCACTGACTTAGAGAGAAAAATTCATTTCAGTTTTTATAATAGGTGACAAAATTTGGAACTTTTATCTTTCCTCCCTTGTATAAGTTTTCTTCGGGTACAGTTTTTAGAGATTACGATTTCAAATCCACCTACAAGCAACGTACAGTTTGACGTTTAAAAAACAATTACGTACGTAAACTATGCTAATCTTTGCCTACTATGTGTTCGTCTCTACCTGAAAGAGGCTTTCAGTGTGCATTTTTATACAAAAAAAATGTACAGGATAATTTTGTTAAAAGATGTAAAGCATTTCTTCTGTTTAATTTTTAGATGTTATGGTTTGATGTGTTTTATTTCTCAGGATCGTAGAAAGAAGCTAATGCAGAGATTTTGATATGGGGCATACCCTAAATCAAAGTACTTTCTCAGACATATATGTTTTTTTCTGATAAAATAATATGTTTATATTATTTTCAAAATCATTAACCCCATTCTTTGACTGGAAACCTGATCAATACATAAGCTCACGGCTGGTGTGAACGTTCGACAAGGGATGCATATTCTTCATAGGCAGTAGATTCGTGATTTCTGTGTTCACAAATTTGTGTTATTTGAAGTGTTTTCTTTTTTTTTTTACTTGAAATCGATCACTGTTCGTTATCTTCGCCTTTTTTCATTTAGAACAATGCCTTCTCGGATGGTGGACCTACTGAAGAACCCGTACAAATCAAACCTCAAAGAATTAAAATAGCACTTGTTCCAAGTACGTGAAAAATAAATCAATCGTATATAAACTGTTGATGGAACATTTAGTTAAATGAAATACAGTGGACCCTTTACGCTTAGAACACATAGTTTTTGTTATTTCTTTAAGTTAAAGATTACATTACAAACTTTCACGTATTAAAGAAAGATGTATCAAATGCGAGATGGTGGTAGGTACCTGTGTAGTAACATGTGTACTGAGGTTGCTTAATTTTTTCATCTTGTATTGCTAAAATTCTATTCTATAGAAATTCAAACCGAATTATTTGATATATACTACTAACATGTTTTAAAGCCTGTAACTGCAAATAAAATAATATTCATTTTCCTATCTAATCATTTGTTATTTCTGATGAGAAAATATAGGCAAATATATATCAAATTCTTTTTTTCCATGATGTTTCTGCTTTATAGATAAGAGTTTAAGAGATGTAATGGTTTTCTACAAGATTGCCAAAAACTTTCCTCTTGATCTGTATTTTCTTAACGATCCGTCCTATACCATGAGAGAACTAGTTGCAAGTCTTCGTCGACTGGCCACTAACATTGGTAAAATATTATCTACTGAACAAAAGTGGTGGACTTCAAATTTGTTCATTATTATTATTATTAACAGTATTATAATTGTGTATTTCACATTTTATGGTCAAACATATTGATAAGATCTAGATCTTTGTTATAATTAAAATTACAGTTATTTTTATCGCAAGATTTCCTTAAAGTTTTACTGTTGTAAGATTGAAGACCATCTACTGGTGATGTAATATCATCATTTCTTGCATCGATTATTCTTCTAAGGTTCATGAAAATGAAAGACCTCCTTGATTTATTTCAGCTGATGACATCGCAACAATTACGACTGATTTTAGATTTGGACTTGGCACAGCTATGGATAAAGTTATAGACCCTTTCACTCTTCAAGATCCCAAAAGGTTAGAAGACATTGGAAAATATATATCTTTTCCTTTATTTATCGGAGAAAAAAACTAGTATAGAAATTGGCCAGATTAGACAGCATTCAAGATTAGACAACGTTTTCAACAATGAGATTTACCGAAAAGGACTGAAAGTTTGTATCGTGTTAGGGAATATTTTGGAATACATAAGACAAGTTTCACATGTGTCATTCTAGTACATGTACAATGGAAATTATAATAAAAAAGATATTTGATATTGTTTTATCTCTGTGATTGACAGAAGATATTCAGTTATGTTATATTGTTCTTTTTATGTTAATTCACCATTCAATTTAATATTTGTCGGGGCATGGAAAATCAAATTATGCATAGAGATTTAGAAAGAAGAAATGGTAAGGTTTTGAAATAGAAATCTAATCGAAAAAGAAAATAAAACAATGTTCCACGTGTACGAAGATGTCTCTTCAAATCCATTTCGATGAAAACCAAATTTGTGATCTAGCTGGTAGCTACATACATGGCATCAGATTTAAATATGAGCTTAGATAACATTGTAATTTTGCTCGGAATGTTTTGTGCAAAATCTGTATGTAATGTGGTTTGATACGAAAAGTGACTCTATTTTAATATTTGCTTTATTTTCCGTAGATTTTTCAGTGGATCTCACCTTGGGGCTCCGTTTTGATTTGCCTTTTTCTTTTTCAGTCGATTGAATCCTTGTGGATCCGTCTATTGTGATAAACCATACTCTTTTATACACCGGCTATCACTGACCAATAATGTAAACGAGTTCCAGGTATGTCTTATTTATCTTTTATACACCAGCTATCACTGACCAATAATGTAAACGAGTTCCAGGTATATCTTATTTATCTTTTATACACCAGCTATCACTGACCAATAATGTAAACGAGTTCCAGGTATGTCTTATTTAACTTTTATACACCAGCTATCACTGACCAATGATATAAACGATTTCCAGATATGTCTTATTTGACTTTTATACACCGGCTATCACTGACCAATAATATAAACGAGTGTCAGGTATGTCTTATTTGACTTTTTTACACGGACTATCACTGACCAATGATATAAAGGAGTTCCAGGTATGGCTTATTTGACAAAAGTAATCAAACGTCGCTTAAATGGAAATCATTCATGTCATTTTCAGTATTTAAAAGGTTTGGTGTTTTTTTCTGAAACGCATATAATTTTTTTCTTTTATGATAGTTCTATTCAAAAGGCCATAGTCCTCAAATTGGGAGGAAGAGCATTCTCTTCAGATTTTTTGAGATTAGGCTTACTGCTTTTAAAAGGACCTTTTTCGTAGAAACTTTTAATTTGCTCGTCCTCTTGCAACAGATTGTTTATTGATAGGAAATTGAATTGATTTACAATTTCTTGGATTATAAGTATGCACAATGGATATTATTTCCCCTTAAAGCGCGTTATAAGTTCAAAGAACCGGTATCTGCTGTGTTCTTTGATACACTTTTGCTTTCATTAGGCCTTTATTGCATTGTTATAAAAGCAAAAGAGTGCAACGGAACGCAGTTACTCTCTACTAGGTAACGAGTGAACGACAAAGAAATAATCACTAAATTTTTAAAGCTTCCAAAGAATTCGCGTAGCTAGTTTTTTTAATATTCTCATTCAAGCACTGAGATTTTATTGTAACTTTGAATATTAAGAAATACTACGTGAAGAAGGGAATTGCAGACAAACATTTTGACTAGAATATGAATTCGTAAATATTTGATGTAGAAATTCGCATTGGAAAAAAAAAACATGTCATAAACATATAGAGCTCTATTTAACATTTACGTATCTTGTAAACCGCAAATGCGTAAAACTGTACAAAAAAAAAAAAAATAAATAAATGACCGTTATTGCCATATTGTTGGTACTTGCATTCCAAATCTATTTTTTTTTAATTTACAAGATTGACTTTCAACAACTACGTGTATTGCATTCAAATTTTTACATGTACATATCGAAACATATAAATACTGTTCTAATTTCCGTAGATTAATGATGGCATTTCAAGAGAAAGGATTTATATTTTATTGCCTTTCTCTTTATGATAAACTATCATTCCGAGAATACATTTTTTTTTTCTGTAGAATGCTTTAAGTCGTGTAAATACAACTGCAAATCAAGACATTGTTGAAGGTTTATTCGATGGACTGATGCAAGTCATGGTATGTGGGGTAAGTATTGAAATTTAGTTTCCAAATACATGTAACTTGTTCTATCGGATATAACGCAAGATATTGTATCAAATCTCTACATACTCTACATAAAAAATATTTATGTTAAGGTCAAACGACACATTCCTCGGAAATATATAACTTTTCCCAATATATTGTGATTTCCTCACAAAAATGAAGTACATTACCAGGCATTTGTGCAAGATTCCGGAGAATGGTATTTCCTATATAACCCTATACTAGAGATCACTTAAACAGCTGATATCACTATGTTTTGTCTATATATTTTTCAGACATTTTGAAATTAGTTTAGAAATCAAAATATAATGATAACTATAAATATTTTTGGTATATTACAAAGGAATGCAAAAACAGTAACATGTCGTTTGACCTTAATTACTCTTTTGATTCAAAGTCCCAAATATACATTTGAATTATCACATTTGTGTAGCAGAAAGGTACCTCTGAATTCTTTCCCGAAAACATCTAAATCTATTTATTAAGGTAAACCGAAATTTGATTTATTCTGAAATGTTCACATAATGTTTAATACTTCTAGGAGAGAATAGGCTGGAGAAGTAAAGCTAGACGAATGGTACTCTATGCTACAGACATAAATTACCATCACGCTGGAGACGGAAGGGTAAAGTACAATATGTACAGTATATTTCTAGAAAACACATTGGAATGACTCTTCTTATCTTTCCGTAATTAGCTGTATCCCGGTCATAATTTGTTACAATAAAATATTGGCTGAATAGTCATCTCTTCGTCGTCGTCAAATGACCTTATGATATATGATGTTTAATAACAAACTTATTATAGGTTGCTGGCATCTTGGAACCAAACGATTGCCTTTGTCACTTAGATGGGACTGGTAAATATACGAAGGCAGAAATACAGGTGTTTTTCTCTTGTCAAGAATGTAATAACATTAATTACGTAACAAAGCTACAAGAAATTGAATAAGACTAAGAGTTTTATCAGAGAGTACCCCCTTGACTTAAATATTAAAAAAAAACTTTTAGTTTAACATGGAACTTTATTATTTTTTTTTTCTTCTTGCGAAAGTTGAGTTTCAAAATGAAAGTTCAGAATATAACATTGCATTATTTGTTACTACAAATTGAATCAAAACTTTCTTTTGCATTCATAAACGATTTTGCTACAAAAAATACATTTCTCCATATGCTTACATTTTTCTCTCTTGCAGGATTACCCTTCAGTGGGACAAATTGTTCAGAAAGCTCGTGAGAACAATATCAATATCATATTTGTAATCGGTGGTGCAGACAATCCAATTATTAGAAACTTGTATTATGATGAACTTACCGCCATTTTACCAGGCGGGGTCAACAACGCATCAGCTTTATCTACAGATGCTTCAAACATTCTGAACATTGTTAGAGAAAACTATAGGGTAATATAACGTTAACAAATCTTTTTCATATAAAATAAGGTACACCAAAAATATTGTTTGTAAGAGGAGATATTTAAGATATTCCCATAATAGAGCACAATTCTTTAAAAATTATTATAGGGTTCATATTGGTATCTAATAAAATAAAAATAAAGAATTAAAAAGGGTTGTAATCTGTAATGCTATCACTTTCATGCGTACTTTTTAAGAAAGTTAGCCATACTTTTTAATGTTACTTTATGAATCAGAAATCTAGCTGTTAAATTCACCTAGTATTCAGATTGAATCTAAATATAATAAGAAATTACAAGATGCTTAAAGGTTCGAAAATAGACTCATTTTAATCTGTTGTACTGCTTAGAATTAGTAACCATAGAATTTGAGTTGTATTCCTTTTAGAATTAAATCAAATATTACATTTTATGGGGAAAAAGTAGATAATTGAAAATGGTTAATTTTGGATAAAAATTTCATAGATGAAGTGACCTGTAGATTCTAAGAAACAAACGGCTTGAATCTTCTGAGTCTTTCTGAATATCTTAAATCTTTTCTTTTCGGTAAGGTTCATCGAAATATTATTTTACAAACGTTGTAATTATCAACCTTCATGTTTTCTCTTTAAATAATACATTCTTCCTATGATACATCCCAAAAGAAATTAAAGGGCAAAAAATTTACTACACTTTTGTACTAAACTTCGAAATTTATGACTTACATGTATAATTGCAAATAAACCGATTCTTATAACATGTTTTAAAGAATCTTAGAGATAATTCCGAAATTTTACTGCAAAAAAGATGACAAAACCCCTTTTACACGTACATGTATTTTATGGACAAGACACATGTAAGTAAATTAAGTTGTCGATTTCTCCCAAGGAACTATCATTTTTATGTCTTTTAATCCGTCCGTTCTTCCAAATATTAGAGTGAAACTAAAAAAGAATTGGATTTCATACCAAGGTTTCCGTAATTAAACCTACATTTTCTGTGGTTACCCAGTACATGTATTTTCTTTAATTGTCTTAAACAATACAACTTGTCATCCCGTCATTTATGATCATTCACTATCGTTCCTGCACAAAGCCATATGAGAGATTAAATTAATTCTAAAACTTTTTTCTTGAACCCCATAGCAATCAAATAATTACTCGGTTAAAGGACGTAGGGTAAAGGCTTTTTATGCATCAAGTTTCAAGAAAATCCATTATCATGCGTGCCAAAAAAATTTGCTGACAGAGGACGAAATTTCTGTATCGATGACCATATGTATCACATTCAGGCGATTAATAGAAATAAGCACGTTATATTTAAAATTCGAATTCGCCAAAATAAGCGTTGTTACTTTATATTCAATAAAGTGGGTACATGTATCATGCTATCTTATTAAATTTTTAAATTGTAATACACTTTTCTGGTAGCGCCTTAGAGAAACGGTAAAGTTGATAGCAAGTGATGTTCCCGAAGAATTGACTGTAGATATATACACAAACTGCAAAACAGGAGGGTTAGTACAAAGGATTTTTCTATTTCCGAATCACTTAAGCAGTTAATTTCATTTCTCGTCCGTATTGGAACATTTCCATTATAAATTTTTCAGACGCAACCTTGATAGAACGAACATTTGCACAGGACTGAATATCGACACATGGGTAAAAATGCTTATAAATAGATATGAATAATTTATCTAAAATGCAATCAATTTTCATATAATGTGTACCTTAATCAATGCAAGTTCTTTAATTTCAAAATAAAATTGTATATATGATAGTGAATCTCCTTTAAACTCAATTGTTTTGATAACTTTCCATGAAATAAAAACTTTATATTTATATAAAAAAAAAACTAATTCTCTGATATTTACCAGTTGAATGTATTATCATGTTTTAATTTTGCCGTCAAAATATGGCTGAAGTACTGTCAAATAGACGTCAAACAACAAATAAACAATTAATTATAATTTTCTGTCTTCATAGACAAATTTTACGCTGTTCATAACGTCCAACTTCACGGTTTGCCCTGAGAAGAGGAGCGTGAATTTTACTCTTTTTCCTGAGGGTCTGGAGGAGCGAGTTCAGATAGAGGTGGAACACGTGTGTGATTGTGATTGCCAGCTTGAACCGGATGCGGTAGATCTTTTCTATATATAGATTTTAATTAAGCATTTTGATTTTAGCTAGGAAAAGGTTAAACCTTGGGTCAGTTCTTTTGTTGTTAATTAATTGTTAGCCCTTATAGCTATTTCTAAATGTTATCCTTGAGAGAAAAACTTAAAATAAAGGATAATATAAGGCAAGGGACATACAGACAGGGAACAGTTAGTTCAAGTGGCTTTGTTAAAATAGAAGAAAAAAGTCAAGAGAATGTGCCAGCAGAAAAAATTATTTAATCAGATTTGAAAAAAAGGATGATTATAATTTTACGTTATAAAGTTATTCTTTCAAAGGAACAAAACAGTACTAGGTGTAATCGAAGAGGTACATACGAGTGTGGTATATGTCACTGCGAACCCGGGTGGTCAGGCAAGAGTTGTGATTGTGATGAGAGGGGAACGATTATGGACGCCTGTGGAACGGAATCAGGGTACATAATTATATTACTGTTTCTACAAGTAGTTTTTGTGTGATAAATATTTTGTCGCATTTAATAGATTGTGAATGCTAATTCAGATACATGCATATTAAATATTATATCCATAACAAGTAGTTAGGTATCTTTGCACTTATTACAGAATTTGCAGCAATGCGGGTAACTGTACCTGTCGAAAGTGTGATTGTTTTGAGGGATACAGTGGGGAAAGATGTGAATGTAATGACCGGAATTGTCCCTCATACAATGGCTTACTATGCGGAGGTACCGTAAAGCTCTACACTTTTATAAAACATAGTCTAGCTGCTCATAGAATGTTTTAAAAAGGGTAGGTAGTTGAAATATAGGTTTATCCGACATATGGAAATGGAGAGTCTTTCTTATTTCAGACACTAAAAATTCAAAAACACTTCAGTAAAAAAGTCATAATAAGCCCGAAGAATTTAAAGCACAATTGCATATGAATCTGTCATTCCAGAATTTGCCTGATATATTTGGAAGACAATGTGACTTTTTTTTTATATATATATTTTAGGAAATGAACGGGGACATTGTTCATGTGGTAAATGTGTTTGTGACGTAAAATATACTGGAAACTCATGTGAATGTCCGATATCTACGGAAGCTTGCAGAGACAATAATGGGGTGGGTACAAACATCTCAGTATAAAACTGAAATGTATGTGCCATTAGAGGCTTCAAATATACAATAGTTAAAATGTTTTACAGCACTGTATACATACAAGCATATCTAACCCTCTATTCCATTTAGCTGTAAACATTTCTTTTCATTTATTAAGCTTATCAATACAAAAAATAAATAAAAAAGATGAAGTTTTTCAAAGGCTCAATTCATGTTTATATATTTACGCAGATTATTGTTAAAATCATACAAATTTGTGTTTTTTTTGTAACAGACTCTTTGCTCCAATAACGGAGTTTGTGAATGTGGAAAGTGTCGTTGTGACGTCAAGTACAGTGGAGCAATTTGTGACCGATGTCAGGTAGAAATTACTAAGCAGCACTCTAAAATGATGTGAAAGAAATTCTCCCCTAAAACAAAGGAACTGTATTTTAAATAACAGAAAACAACAAAAAATCTGATGTCTGAAAGCATAATTATTAATTCCAGATTAAAATTTAATTGAATTAATTTAAAATTTTGTTCCAGCACTGTCCAGGAACGTGTGAAAACAACAAAAATTGTGTAGAGTGTGTTGGATTCAATCAGGGTCTCTTTAATGAAACTATATGTATCCAAAGATGCAAAAATGTCGAATCTGTTGCTGATTTACAGGAAACGGGTACACGTAAGTGTCATCTCAAATCTAAAAGAAACTTCATTTCGGTACATGATTAAATGCTTATAATATTCCTGGCAAAACTAAAAACGAAAGAAAGATGGACATGTGCATGTTTGTTTGATTAAATTATGATTTATGTTTTAAGCTGACAATGAGACAACGTTCACACCGTGTGTTATACAAGACAAATATGGTTGTATTATCAACTTCAACGTTTGTAAGTTTTACATTAATAACTTTATTTTTCTTTGAAGCCTTTCATGTTTAGATATAAAGATACATAAGGGAGACTTTTGTGTCTAAAAAAAGCTCCCAAAAAATTTACGTGGTAAAATTGAATTCTAATTTTTTTCTTTAACATCAAAAAACAATTTATCTCTATTATCAAACATAGAGTTTGTAACATCTGTGTATTTGATGGAAATGTTTTGATGTTGAAAAACTGCTCATGAATTTTTACGTATTTTTATTAAGATAATTCCCCAGATAGACAATTTATACAAGTAAAGTCTTCAAAACGTAAGTATTTGACTGTGATGTTAAGACTTAAGCAAAACAAACGTAAAAAGAATCAAACATAGTGAAATAATCGATAATTTAAGACGTGTAAGCTATGACATATTAAATTGTAAATAAAATCCTTTAAATATAATTCAGAATCATGAAACAAGCATGAGGTATATTACCAAGTGCCTGTTTATGAATAAAAACAGAAAAAAGTAACTATCGCTTGCTTTTTTTAATCGCGAGGAATACGTACATATAAGATAATGCATCTTAACATGTGCTTTATCTATCTATAGGTTGTCCTTTGGGGCCACCCAATCCTGTCACAATAGGAGCCAGTGTTTCCGGTGCCATCTTTCTCGTTGGGTTGATTTTGATCCTGATTTGGAAGCTTCTGACAATGTTATATGATAAACTGGAGTATGCCAAATTTGAATCTGAAATACAAAACCCAATTTGGGAGAAGGTACATATACAGCTTTATGATTTTTATAAAGTATTTCATGTTGGTATTAAGTTACAGTACCCACAACGTTATTCTTTACAGGATACACGATACGATAGGATACACGCACGATACAATAGGATAAACGTACGATACGATAGGATACACGCACGTTAGGACAGGATACACGCACGATAGGATAAACGCAAAACACGATAGACCTGATAAACGATCTTCACGATAGGATAAACGCAAAACCTGATAGGATTGTTTCAAAATGCGGAACGTTTTTTGACAAGACGAATAAATTCTTTTGTTTGATATACTGCAACATGTTAATTTTAATACTTGCAAAGCTGCAAATCTAAATGATAAAAATATTTAAAGTATTATGAAAAAACACTTGGGGTCACTATGGTAAGTTTATATAACCTGTTAATTTATTTATTTTTTGACAATAATTAAGTGGATTGTAGATAAATGTAGACTTTAATTATTTTAGATTATTTTACTCAATGGTGAACATTTCCGATTATTTGTGTAAATGTCGAAATTCTTATTAAGGTTGAACTATGAATCTTTAAATTACAGAGGTTGCTCAAAAATTCCGTAGATAAGTGTTGTTTCTCACAGGTACGATAAATTTATGAAACTCTAGAAATAGATTTATTATTTATACAAGAAATATATACCTAATAAGTTTATCTACAAATACTTAGTATTTTCACGGAAAAAAAATCTATGCAGTGAATTAAATATTTGTATTCAATGTCTGATGCTTAAAGTCTGTGATGTATCCAAAAATCACAATATAAAAATAAAGGGTAAAAAAAAGGGTTATAACAAAATTAATAAATTTGTCGTTATAGATCTATCATCAACTACTACCCCCCCCCCCCCCCACAAAAAAAAAAAAAAAAAACGAATCAGGGTAGAAATCTAAATAAATGCTAATATAATAGCGTCCTTCATTAATACATGTAAATTATGTCATGAATTTTTGTTTGCTCGCGCAAACATTTCCGTGTAGATAAACCAAAATGAAATAACTTTCTACATTTTGTTTGTGTAACGGTGTTACGGTATAAATACGGTGTTACGTGTATAAATATATTTTAAGTCAACAGAATTTGTATCTGCTACAACTACGTGTATGCTAAGCTGTCATAAATGTGGACATTTATATATCAGAAACTTAAAACCTCGTATTAATTAACGAACATTGAATTATTGCATAATTTTTGTTAAAAATACATAAGATCAAAAAAATAAATAAATATAAACAAAGTGAAATGCGACTTTTCGGACTAAATAATCATAAGCTATTGCCATTAGACTTTGTGTTAACTGTTACTAAAACAAAATATTTAATATAGGTCTAAGTCGGCAAATAATTAATACCTTATAGATTATGACAGTCTTAATCCCATATGAGGGATATTCGCAGGGCGGGGGTTTGAAGGTACATATCCAATTAAAAAATGAACAAAACAAGATCCGACCAAATAGCCAAAAATAATACTGATTTCTTAAATAAAGTCAAGTATGGAATGAAATCGATTAATAATACAGTCCGGTGTATTTATTCGTCTTGCGTAATCACGGCGGAACCAGGCGATCTCTTGCTTTATTTTCACCTGCCTTTTCTTCCGAAAAAAAAAAAAAAACATAAAAATAATGTGAGGTAAATTTCGTAGTTTAGAAAAATTAGTAAAATTTATCAGAGAATTATTTCTAATTGTATTACACAGAAAACCCGATGATCCGTAAGTTCATGTACATGTACCATAAGCATTAAAAACCCATAAATTGTACAATTATCTTATTTTCTTCGAATAAAATCTTTAATTTTCTATTAAGTGTTGGGCATACAAGTTATGAACAGAATCCTAAAATTAAGTAGATGCATTTCATTAGAACCGGGCAGTATTCAAGATAGGTAAAGATGCGAGAGCAGCGCAGGTATGTTGACGGTGAATACACACGGGCCGAGGTGTCGTTTAGGGAGAAAAGGGGGAGGGGTGTCTTGACCAGACAGGAAGACCGTGTACTGATTAGAGAAGTACATGTAGGTGTCAGTTTTCTAGTAAGGAAAGCTCTTCGATTTTTCACTCAGATATACACTATATTTCCAGTTCATTTCCACGCGGAAATAGGTAAGCTGTTGAAAGTAATCATGTTTTTTTCCTGTAAATATTTTTTTTTTCTAAATTTTCTAATGCCAGAAAGAAATATAAATGAAAAACTTCTATATAATAGTAAATATCATGGTATGATGAATTGGGTAGAGAATTTCCATGCATTTTATTTTGTAATTTGTATTCTTTATTAAGACAAATCAAGGAATTTAGCTAAATAAATAGTGATAAAAAATAATAAATACAAAAATTGAGGATACGGACAAAATCAGTGTAAATGTCATGATGATCATTGTCTTATGCTTTATGAATCATTTATATCAAAACATTAAATAATTGCACATACTTGCTGATCAGAGGCATAAGCACATAACAATTTTATCAAAAATTTTATCGGGAAAAAGATGAATATCGCAACTAAAAAAAAAAGATTCATTAGACCCGTGCTTATAATTTTTTTGGTACACATACATCCTACCTTTCCGGAAAGCTTCCTCTAGTGACTCTGACTATTTTAAGAAAATTATAATTCTAATTTTGACAAAAGAAAAAAAATATTCCTACAATTCGATAAATTAAAAAGAGACCAAGAGATCGATTATTACATTTCCGAAAATATGGTTTAAATTTCGATTAAAGCTCTGTGCTTGACCATTATAAAACATTTTATTTATTTATTCATTTTTATTTATTTATTTATTTATTTATTTTACTTCTACACTTTCTTTTAATGATGGAAAAACAAGTAAGGTATACATGTAAAACTTTCTTTTCCTCTTCTCAGTTGAAGTAATCGTAATTAAGTTAACAAAACGAAAAATAAACTCGGGGTATCTCGGAAGTTTCTTCCCATAGAAAAGATAAAAAGCGAGGGTTTCCGAATGTACACGTTAAACGCAAAACACGATACACGATAGAAACTGATAAACGATCTTCACGATAAACTCAAAACACGATAAACGCAAAACACGATAGAAAACGCAAAACCTGATAAATGCAAAACACGATACGATAGGATACACGCACGATACGATAGGATACACGCACGATAGGATAGGAAAAACGCACGATATGACACGATAGAATAACGTTGCGGGTACTGTAAATGATGGTAACGTGTATTTATCTTTTTCTGAATATCATGTTACTGTAAAATGTACGCTTTTTGTTTGTTTATATTTTAGTCTGACAATCCTATCTACAAAGAGTGTGTTACAACGGTCCAGAATCCGGTACATGAAGCAAACATAACCCATGGAGATGGACCTAATCTTAAAGAGGAATAGTTGATTGGATGATTGACTTTTCTTTTAAAAAAAGAAAAGCAACAACTTTGCAAAAACAACCTATTGGTTAATTTTATTCCGATTATTAGGCGACAATATGAAAAACATTGGTAAATTTGCTCTTTGAGTAAATTTACTAAGTTGAGTAAAGGTCATTTTGCTAAATAGAGGGTGTTTCAGAAAACATGCAACCATTTACTTTCCTAAGTTTATTTATATGCAAACATGAACATATGAAAGTTTTATATAAAATTATGCTAAAAAGGCTAAAGTTTTTATTAATAACAAAAATTTAGAAAAAAATTACCATTTGAATTAATTATGACGTCATATTTGACATCACTGAAAAAACAGATAATTTTATTCTTAATGTGGAATTTAATAAAAAAAAATTAGCAATCATCAGAGGAGTTCTGATACTGCTTTATCAGAGCATGTCACCAGTTCCTCTGATTAGGACAATGAAAATAAGGTTTACAGAATGCAAAAAAACTTATTTATAGTAATATAAGGTGGAAGTTGTATAAATCTGTAAAATTTTTCAGCTAATGGAAGAGTTAATGCATGTTCAAAGAAATTTGAAGAAATAAAAATGAAGAAAAAGACAATTAGAACACATGAAAACATTAAGAATGTTACAAAAGAGGCACTGTTCCAGAGACTCACATGAAATCCTTTTGTAAAATAACTGAGTTTGGGAAAAAATTAAGCAAGTCAAGTGTAGATCAGATGCTGAAATATGTTTTGAATCTTAAACCTTGGACTTGTTAGAACAAATGTTTGGAGGACCATTCAACTCTTTCAAATCCATTTTAATTGGGTCTCCACACTCACCTGACTTAACACCCCTTGACTTTTATCTGTGGGGATATTTAAAGGTCAAAGTTTTTAAAATACACCCCCAAAAACAAATGAACTCAAAATGGTTCGAAAAATGAGACCTGAATCATTACCAAGAGACTCTCTGCAATAGTAATGAGAACTTTCTTGCATCGGATAGATTTATTCATTCAGCATAAATGAAAACATTTAGAACATATTTTGTAACTAAGTGAAATTTTACAAGTTTCTTTTTTCTTTTGTAATTCATTATCTATTTGCCATATTAACTTTATTTTCATAAGAATAAATTTTGAAATTGTGACTTTTAATTTGATATGTTGGTGCATGGTATTGGTTGAAACACCAGTAAAATTTAATCAATCAGAATGGTTGCATGTTTTCTGAAACACCCTGTACATCTGACGATTCATATCTTTTTGTAGGAATTTCCAATATGTTGTTTTTGTTAAGGATTCAACTAATTGATTTGCAGTGGACCAGTGTCATAATAAAGAATTTTAACAATTTCACAGAATTTAAAAAAAAAACCCACAGAACTATGTACATGTACATTACCTATTATCAGAAGGCCCACAATTTTTTTTTATTTGAATAAAAAGGTTTGCCAAAATTTAACAATTATGTTCAAGTACTAGAAGATTGGTTGTTACATATATGCATAACAGAATTTCCATAATCAATCCAATGTTTACCCAACGTTAAACAATTGTTTTTTATTCTTTCAGAAATTGTCATTTTTCATAATTTTCATGAAACTGAAGTATAGCCGAACCTTCGAGCAAGATAAAACATAAATACGAGGGATGACCAAAGAGTTCGCGAACTAATTAAATGACTTCCATAAAAAAAATCAAAATTGGTTTTAGTGTTTATTCTTTTTTAGTGAAGGCCCTTCCCGTTTAATACATATATGCCATCCTTCTGCCCACGTACAAAACACGTGACATGCTCCAAGGCGTACTGTTCACAGCAATCCAAAGATTTTCTCGGGTCTTATATTTCTTATCAAACTGGCTATTTTTTTTTTATAACAAGATTAACCAATATGTCACAAAATGTCCTATTTTGTCAATAAAATGCTTGGATTATGATTTCTATCCTAAGTATGATCAAAGTTTCCATCACAACCCGACTCCTTTGTCTTTGGTGCGTCGTGATTATCAAGTAGAGATGTTTTCTCTTTATCATATCTGATCTGTTAACAATCTAAAATAACTGAAATTCTAGCAGATTTAGAATTAGCCAAGAAAAATTTTGAAAAGATGTTCAACTATATATCTAATTCGGCCATCTTTTATTACAAATCGCTCATCTAAGAACACGTATCTTTCCCAACTCATTTTCACTGGGCACTCGGAACGAACATCATTTAAGCCATCCCCCTACCTTCACTAAAACAATTCATCCAATTACTATTTGAACTTTTGACAAGTCCTTTGTCGCCATAAACCTTGTACAAATTATATATTACTGCAAAGGATTTTTCAAGTTATACGTAAAATATTACAACTGTTCCTTGCTCGAGTTGGACCGAGTAACCAATTTTTATCACAGGCCATCTACATATTGACGTCATTTTCACATGACGTCATAAAGAGAAGCAAAAATATAACGTAACACATGTTATTTAATGAACATGTTTATGGGTCCTAATTTCATTCTGTTCTGAATTGTGGTTATGTAGTTACAGAGATTGTTCGAGATCTTTTCACCTCTCGTATTTAAAAAAAGAATATTTTGATAAAACATAGACAAAATAGTGCAAACATATGCTTGAGAAATGAGTTGTATGTTTATTATGACAGTTCATGATAGTCACTACTTCTGGTGGCGGATCCAAAGTTGATTGAGAGTTTACTCTTATTTAATTAGGTGAAATTGGGACACTAGCTCGTGTAAAAAATTTTAAAAATAGATACATTATACATATTCCATATTATGTATATATTGCTTTATGAGTCTATTTGTTATGAAAAATAGCACATAAACTGGGGAATATGTCAGAATGCAGATGATGATATATCCCCTACATGCATCTGACAATTACCAATAGGAAAAAACAAGTTTAACTGATAAATATATTATTATTCATATTATCATAGAAAAGAAAAAGTGCAAATAATCTAGATAATCCAAGAATTAATTTTACTTTGCAACTAAAAGAGTCTGTATATATGCCGTCCGCAGATGTGAATAAATTATGCAATAAGCTACAAGATGACGTCACAGTAGATCCTGTTCAACCCTTGTGAAGCATAACATTTTTCATATGTAAAAAGATTCTGTGAAAGTATCATTAAATCTTTAATTTATTCAGGCGTATAAGAGGAGTTGCGGATAAGAGATGGGTACCCTAAATATTATTTAAAGAATGGCAGTGTCTATGTTTTGCTATTGGAAACCTGAAATATGTGTCCGATCAAAAAGTGAAATAGGAGGTGCACAATGGCACTATCTACAAAGATTCTGCGAAAGTATCATTAAATTTTATTGAGTGGTATAGGAGGAGTTGCGGATAAGAGATGTGTACCCCAAAGCGTAATGGACGGACGCACAAACGGACGGAAAGGACACCCCCATCACTATATACCCCAACTTTTTAAGCGGGAGTATAATAATCTGTGTGACTGTCTTGGAATATTTTCATTCTACCTGGTCCCTATGATAATATTAAAAAAGGAACATTCTATTTATATCCATTCAACACATTTTTGAGCGATGCTTCGCTCCTAGTGAAGTATTGTTTATAGATCATCATAAACAAGTATTGTGTATAGATCATCATAAACAATATACGACATGCTTCAAATGCCGATAGTCTGACCAACTAAGTTTTCCGGATTTTTCCCTACAGGCCAGCAGATATTAAGCTGATCTTTGGCATGTGCGTCCAGGCACGTAGTATCGTTTTTCAAAGTTGGGAAGTGGGCAGTCGGGAAAAAAAATAATTGACAACATACCTGAAATGATCTTGAAACGAATGTTTCTGAACTGAAGAGCTAATTCTATAACTACAGTGTAGGTAAAAGTTTAATTGCAAAAAGTTTTGTTTAAATTGAAAGAGACTTTCAATGCAAAATTCTTAGATCCTGATATTGCGAGTATTTTAACGTATAAAAGATCGAAATTATTTGGACAAGAGGAAGAAGGAAAAAGTTGGAAGGACTTGTTTCTAATCCATTTATTCATTTGTAACAATAATTTGAACGTTGTTTTCGATACAGAAACAGGGAAAATTTTAGATTAATTGGAAAGGGATTTCGCAATTTATCGGAATGGTTTAATTAGTAAACAGAACTCATCAAAACATTCTAGCCCTAAATGTAAGTTTCTTTGGAGTAATATGGAAAACAGTAGAGTACACTTCAAAAAATATTCTTTAGAAAAATAAATTTGTTAAAAAATCACTCGTCACTGTCCATTATTATATATTTAACAGTATTTGCTGGAACCCCCCACTCCCCATTTTTTTGCAAAATGTTCGAATTTTTTTCTCCAAATACCTTAATATCTGCAGGGATTTTGTAAAGGTAGAGTCTGCGAAAATTCTATGATTATTTTCCATGTAAATGTATCAAAAGATTAAGCATGAGGAATTTTTCGTTATTATCACACGTAACCATTGCGTAAAATCCACACTTTCGTTATTATCACACGTAACCATTGTGTAAAATCCACACTTTCGTTATTATCACACGTAACCATTGTGTAAAATCCACACTTTCGATTTCATTTGCACATTATGGTTTTTATGGTTTATAAAAAGAGTAGAGCTACACTGATATTGCTGATATGTGGGTCACTATCATAATTGAAATACATATACAGGTGCTCATTTATCCTTGTTTTATTGTCTCACAATCAGCACAAGATTGATTTTAATCAACAAAAGCTTGCTTAAAATATTTTACTCGGAGAAGCAATAAGAGTTGTCCGTACATATTTTTTTCAATTTTCTTTATGATTTTTTTTTTCGTGAAAAGAGGCGCTGCCAAACCAGTCCCCACCCCCCTTCTCACTGAGGAAAAAATAAGAGGAGTAGGAAAGTCTTTAACAATTTTCAATTTCTAGATTGATTTCTATTCATTAACAATAAAGAAAGTTAAATTCAAGACAACCTAAGAGAATAAAATAAAAATAACTACATTAGATGAAAATTTTGTTGCCATTAGTTTGTAACAACCCCCCCCCCCCCTCTTTTTTTCAATCTCAACTGGAAGTCTTGGATCTACCATTCTACATATCATGATACTAATAGTTTAAACTGAGGGAGGAGGTACATGTACAAGTGTACTAACCAGAATAAGCTGACAATAGATTTAAAAAAAAGAGTAAAAATTATTATCCAAAAAAAAAAATCTACTTCGTTGGGTTTAAAAAAATCTAGCTATAAACAACTTACGGTCATACGCTTTAAAGAACATATTCCCGTTTTATTGATTTGTTTTTTAAAACACATTCTAAGATCTCGATCTCTCTCTCCATGTGTTTTCACATCGCTGAATTCTTAGATAAAACCGTATACTAATAAAGTTGCAATGAAGAGATGATGACGGATAAAAACTTTGGGTAAATTATATGTATTGTACTTATTTATTTAATTTATGTTTTGTCTAAATAGATCTATAATCACTACCCTTTCACTGACCGACGATCTGAAGCATAACTATACTAATAATTAAATTGTGTTAGTTACAATGAAATATTTGGAGCACAGTACAAAAAATGCATAAACATTTTATACTAATGTCTAAGATATACGACATGCATTTAATGCAATTTTACTCACTGGGGGTATATTTGAATTATGTTTCACAAAGGATGACAAGATCGGGTATATGTTTTATGTACATATGCATCAATAGCCTCACTTCGATTTTAATAAATACAGACATATTAAAAATATACCGATATATTCTTTTGTTTTTGATCACGGGCGCGGGATCGTCATGTGCAAGTGTTTTAACGAAACCCGATATCGGTGCTCACACAACTGTAAACTATAACTATACATTAGTTTGTATCAGCATGTATAAGCCATCGATATAACTGAATTTTGTAAATTCGTTGAGATGATACTTCTGCATGTATATAAAAAAGTTGCGGAAATTAGATGATTATCTTAATGCGTATTTTTTTCATTCCTTTTTTTTCATTTTTTTTTTTAATTTTCACTTTGGACAGCAACCCAGATCATTATTATTTCGCTTGTTTTAAAAGGTATAGCGTGATATCTTTGCTACACTCTCTATTAATTTGTTTACAATTTAAGTCATGCCTGATAACACTATTAACAACAGTATTTTGAATTATTTCAGGGAGGGGAGGGGGAGGGGTAGTAAAGAAAGACACCGTGGCGGGAATTTCTGATAACTTATAATTTGATGGTATCATCCAGTTGGGTTTACATGTAATTAAATCATATACATGTAAATACATGTAGGGGCACTATCTAGAGCGTTAAAAGCTTTTCAGCAACATCCCAAATAATTTACAGCCTTTATGA